TGTTAGTCACGCAGTAGAAATATAAATACTGCAAAATAAGTCATTAATTGCATGTAACATATAAACTATTTTATAATTGTTAACATTTTTACTTTTCTAAAAATCTTAATAAATTTTTCTCAAGATTACTTTTCTTGAAATAGTTGGTCCATCTTGATTCATTAAAACCTTTTATACTACTGGATGGAAAGTTCCATATATTTAATAACTAACACCTATCTGTTGTTACAGAAATTCAGAAGTGATAGTAACTTAAGAATTTTAAAAAAACAATCAAAACTCTGTCACAGGTTTTGAGGAATTCTTTGATTTTTAAACTCTCTTATTTTGTTGAAATTTATTATGCCCCCGCCATGTAATGGCCGGGGCATATAGTGTTACCCTGTTCCGTCATTCCGTCCTTCCGTCCTTCCGTCCTTCCGTCCTTCCATCCTTCCGTCCTTCCGTCCTTCCGTCATTCTGTCATTCCGTCATCATCAGTTTCCGTTCATTATCTTAAGAACGGTTGGGCACATTCAACTCAAATTTGACATATGGATATGTCATGAGAAAATACAGGTCAAGTTCGAATTTGGTCATGGTTCGATGATTTTTGGCAGAGTTGTGCCCCTTTTACTTTGAAAATAATATGAAATTTCAGTTTCTGTTCATTATCTCAAGAACGGTTGGACACATTCAACTCAAACTTGACATATGGATATGTTATGAGAAAATACAGGTCAAGTTCGAATTTGGTCATGGTTCGATGATTTTTGGCAGAGTTATGCCCCTTTTACTTTGAAAATAATATGAAATTTTCAGTTTCCGTTCATTATCTCCCCAACGGTACAACACAATCAACTCAAACTTGACATATTGATGCGTCAAAGGAATGCGCAGGTCAAGTTCAAATTTGGTCGTGGTTCGATGATTTTTGGCAGAGTTATGCCCCTTTTACTTTGAAAATAATATGAAATTTTCAGTTTCCGTTCATTATCTCCCTCAAGGTACAACACATTCAACTCAAACGTGACATATGGATGCGTCAATGGAATGCGCAGCTCAAGTTCAAATTTAGTCATGGTTCAATGATTTTTGGCAGAGTTATGCCCCTTTCACTTTGAAAGTAATATGAAATTTTCAGTTTCCGTTTATTATCTCCCCAATGGTACAACACATTCAACTCAAATTTGACATATGGATATGTTTTTGGAATGCGCAGGCCAAGTTCGAGTTTGGTCATGGTTCAATGATTTTTGGCAGAGTAATGCCCCTTTCACTTTGAAAATAGTATGAAATTTACAGTTTCTGTTCATTATCTACCTAACAGTGTTACATTTTAAATTTTAATTTGACATATGGATATGTCAAAGGAATGGGCAGGTCAAGTTGGAATTTGGTCAGGGTTTGATGTTTTTTTGGCAGAGTTATGTCCCTTTCACTTTGAAAATAATATAGATACATCTTAAGAATAAGCAGTTTAAGTTTGAATTTGGTCATGGTTCAATGATTTTAGACAAACTTATCTTTCCTGAATGTTGGAAAAATTTTGAACTTTCAGTTTCAGCACTCATTCTTTTAGCCATTATTTTGGCTACAAATATGCAATATGCTTTTTCTAAAGGTTAAGACTGAATAATTTCAGTGCCTTGAACGTTTTATGGAAATGGTTTGTGTTAACATTGAAAAGTTTTAAGGGCTTTGAACTTAAAATGAAAAAAAAAAATTAATGCACCATCTGAAATTTTGGCTGCATGCGGGGGCATCCGTGGCATGATGACACATTTCTAGTTGTAAATGTGCTGTTTGAACATTCATGCTGCAAAATTTATTATGATTACTAAATTTTTAATGTTAAAAGCCATTAACATACACTGCATGTAAGGAGATTTCATGCATTTGAATTTAAAATAACTTTTAACAAAATCCCCTCATAATATTTATAATATTCTTTCTTTAAGTAAGAAGTTTGAGGGGAAACATGGGAAAAATGTACTTACAATAATTGTATTTTCTCGTATATGCAATTGTATTTTCTCGTATTTGCAATTGTATTTTCTCGTATTTGCAATTGTATTTTCTCATTAGTAATGCCATAACACTATTATTCTTACAACGTTTATGTTATTTTGTGCCTTTTTGAGAAGTGTTATAACTCAATGTAATTATGTTTAGACTATTGTCATTTTTTATATGGTTGCTCAAAATCCAAACTCTGGCACATAATTTGTACTTTGTATATAATGTATGATAGGTATTGAACTAAGTAGATCTGCTGTATTTATTTATTGTTTTTTGTTATTTTTGTTAGTAACTCTGCTCATCATGATAACATTGGCCAAATTGTCATTTCAAAAAGTTTCTGTCAAAGTGCTTATAGGAATATATTATTTAGGAGTTGTTTTTCCACAGTTTAATGGAGAATGAAAATAGTTTAATAATGCATGTAAATCTACCTGATATATTCTGGTATGTCAGGAAAGAAATTCGAAAAGGAAAGACTGTTTATAAGGTAAACATTGTAGGTTTTGAAAAGAGAGGGATGGCATATATATTTGCCCGCGTCAGTTTGCAGCATTGTCTTGCTGTCATGCTGTACATCTATAAACTGACAAAACAGTGAAATGTGGGAACATCCCTGTGGTTTGGACACATTTCTAGTGTTATCTGTTACATAAGTTTTTACACTTAAATGCACTTAATAATCCGCTTTTTGTGGTCTTTATCACAGTGAGGTGTACAGTATATACAAACTGAAGGCATTTTAAGAAAATATAATACTCCTAAAGCTATAAATAAGCTCCTTAAAGCATTTATTTAAGCTATGTGCTATATAGTATCAAGCCATATAACATGGTTAATTGAACCTTCAATACAACAGAATGTTAAGAGACGACTCAAATCGGCTGTTTCATTATAGAGGCATTCTGTTTCATCCTTTTTTTCATGATAACCTAATTCTTTGCAATTCCACTGTTTAAAAGTTATGGTAGATTTATTTATTCCAGACTTTGTATAGATGTGTTAAAAGATATTTTGGGACAGAAATTATCCTTTTAGATAATTATAATGTGAAGAGAAATTATAACAATTGTTTTCCTTCTCACAATATTTGCTACCTTTCTTTTGAAATATTCAGGAAAAATCATGTATTAGTACTACAGTATGGCATTTGTATGTCCGTCCATAATTTTAAGAAAATCTTTTACTATTTGTATAATGGGTAGGCATTTTATGTTTTAGCTTGTAATAGGTATTAGAAACTGAACAGACTTTTCTTCTCAAATGTTATATTTTTTTCATAGTTAAATAAATATAAAAGACAGCTATAACAGTGTTTCTTTGTGCATTTGACATCCATTTATTTAAACAAGCAATCTAATGGAAGTGACTCATTGGATATGTTCACAGAATGATATATTCACAGAATGATATGTTCATGGATTGATATGTTCACAGAATGATATGTTCACAGAATGATATGTTCACGGAATGATATGTTCACGGAATGATATGTTCACAGAATGATATGTTCACGGAATGATATGTTCACAGAATGATATTTTCACAGAATGATATGTTCACGGTACAGATTTCAATATCATAATGTTCACCATATCTCATTGTCTCAGTACAGAGCATAGGCCTAGTGATTAAAGTGTGTATCTTACTTGAGGAATTGTAGGTTCAAAGGCTACTGCATTAAAATCATTACAAGAAAATCATTGCAAGTATGACATCATCATGGGAACCCAGCTAACTAAATTCATGAATGAAGTGAATATTTAAGGAGTATGTCTGGATTACTGAGGCTAATCCGACATTTTAGTACTGGTTAGTTCTAGGAAGTGACTAGTGTTTCAAATAACTTATAAGCTGTCATCAAAATAGAGCTAAAAATAAAAATTATTAATAATTTTATACTAAATCTTCACTGAGCTACGAAGGGAGTGTATAGTACCGCAAAAAAAACTTGTTTGATGAACCACTATACATCCTTCGTGTCATTTCAGTTTGACCATATATTATAATGTTGACTGCCCTGGCTAGTTTCAACAAATAAAAAGTCCATTAAAAATTTCAGAAGTATAAGGGTTAGATCAAAGCAGCATGCCTCCATATTAATGCCAATTTTCATGAAAATTTTGAAAATGTATTGATAAATATTGTGAAGTGAACAAAGAAAGTAATTTACACATTGCAAATAGCACTTACAATCCATGTAAATTACCAAAAAGGTCAAAATATGCACACACAAAAAGCTCTTACTGGTCGACTGAGAAATATGGTGATAAAGTCTGCTATTTAATTAGTCATTTACCGCACGTAAATTATTACTTAAATCTTTTTACTTTTCTTAAAATCTTAGTAGTTTGATTTCCATGAAATATTTTGGCTCATTTGCAGGCATGCTGCTTTGAAAAACCTCGGCTCACAAAAACTTTTATATTATATTATTATACAATAACAACTGGAGACTAACAGTCACCTCTATAAAATTTAAGTTTTAATGGTCACCAACCAATGAAGGTGTTGGTAGTTTTCACTCCAGATCACGGCAGTAAACTACATTGAATTTACCAGAGCACAGTTCAGCCACCACATCGTTCCTGGACAGGCTGTCAAGCAGTTTACCAGAACAAGTTGCCTTCACTTTCCCAAGGAACTGATAACTTCTGTACAGCAGTGATACAGTGCAAATGAAAGGATTTCATGATCAATTAAAATATAAGTGGCCTGCAACATGCGGGAATCAAACCTGGGTATCAGATTCACAGTCCAACGCTCTTCCTATTGTCCTTATTGGACGTCTGTGACCAAACAACTTTGGAAAACTGTTAAATATTTGATATGATATCCAATCAGAATGTCTAGAAAGTTATGGCATGTTAATCAAAAAGGAAACACCCAGGCATAAACTTTTTGTGTTCTTTTGTCATAAATCTCTATTCAAAAACTTGACTAAGGTTACAAACATGAAGTATGCCCTGAAAGGAAGTAAAATAATTACAAAACAAAACAATGATTGATAAAATATTTTTTTTTTATTTTCAAGACAAATATGATTCAATCACAGTAACAATACAATACAAAATATGTGAATCACAGCGTCAGTGTACAGAAAGTAAAATTAAATGCAACTTTCATATTCTATTTTAATTTAATATAGTCATCTGACATGGAATAAAAACATTATAATGTTGAAAAAAAAAGCTATGTTTTTCTTTATACATGTATATATAATAATTTCTGTCCATTAGGCTATATCTCTAAATTGACACTGACTGAAAAATGTTTTCGCTAACTTTGGTAAAAGCCAACATATAGAAAAATTTATTAAAAAAACTCTCTTTTATTAGCAGACAATTAGAGCTTTAAAAAAAGTATAGTAATGGAAAGAATATTAAAATGAAATGGTTATGATCAATTTCATAATGTCACACTATTATTCACCTATTTCAAAACAATTTTATTCCTGTCGAGCATTAAATCTCAATGCTGCAGTCGAACTGAGCAATTCAAGTGTTTTTTTTGTTTTTTGTTTTTTTAATTTGTGATTTATACAAAAAATGAAAATTTATTTCCCTGGCTATCTTAAGGCTATAAAGGTGGAACTATTGCATCATTTTTTTTTGACAACTTGAAAAATACAACATTTCAAGAATTAAAGAAAATTGATATTTGAGCATTTGTAATGATCATTTAAGGGTTATGTTATGTACAAAGAAGAACCTTATCTGAGCTTACTAAAAACAAAACTCTGAACCTTTCACATATCATATATACCAGAATTCGTTTTTGACTACATAATAAAAGATTTTCTAGTTTCTTAAATATTTCAATGTGACTAGAAATAATGTTTTAAAATAATTACTTGAATCCCTCAATCAATGCTTATTGGATACTCACTATTGTTTTGATTGTGTTAAAAACTGCTCAAAAAACAAAGGACTTGCATTACATTTTATTGTTTAACAATCTTAAATAATATCATTAATAGCATTCTTAAATTAAAGATGGTGAAAAAAACACAACGCCACCGAGTATATCAGTTATTTGAACTAACAGTTGATTTAATGTCATCCCCGTCTTCTTGGTCACCCTCCCCCTCGCCAAGGAGTCCGAACGATTTAAAAACTTTATGTTGCCGTGTTGTTCTCAGCTTTTTTAAGTCTCCGGTATATTGTTGCTCGCGTATCAACTGACGTCTCTGATCCTCAAGCTCAAGTTTATGCTCCTGCAAAGCTCGAGTTTTTCTTATAAGCTCTAAAAGCTCTTTTCTTAATTGTCTATTTTCAAGCTTTATTTTATTTGTATGGTCGGTAAGGCACATTATTGCTTCCTGAAAATAGAATTGATTGAAAATATGTATAAATTTAAACATTTATAGCATTATTTTTCACTGCATAACACATACTTGTATATAGGACTTTATACATATAAAAAAATTTTGTTTTTAAAAAAGGTTGTTTTTTTACCACTTGTCCCATTTTTGTGGGGTTTAACTAAAAAAACGGTAAGTTTTTTTAATTTTTTTTTTCCTTTGATTTTTCAACACGTAAAGGTCTTTTGTTATTTTCCAGTTTTAGTTTTTTGAGGAAGCCCTCAAGTGCTCCTCCCTGCTTTTTCAGACACAAATGCAAAAACCTTTTTCTTTGTAGCCAGAGTTATGAAACACAAAAAAAAATTAAAAAAGGGAAAAGTTTTAAAAGTTATTAAGTTAAAAAATTTTTTAAAAACCATTTTTCGTTAAAAATAAAACTTTATATTTTTACATGATTTTTTTAAATATATTCATTTATATTGGGGGCTTTTAAAAACCACACAAAATTTGTTGACTGTGATTGATGTACATCTTCAGACAATTATTTTTACATAATATCAAAAAATACTTTTACATAATATCAAAGAAAAGCAAGATATCCTTGGTTACCTGACGTTTGAAAACAATTTACAAAAACAAAAATATAAAAAAAAGATGCATAAAGTAATTAAGATTTTCCAAATGCAATGTCTAAAATGATTACAAAACAGGAAGTCTGCTGCTGACCCATCACTTTTAGAATAACAATTTATGAGTAATGAATCTCCTATGACATATACATGTACATACACGCATGTTACACATACGCACATGTTACATACTGTTTATGCAATATTTCATCAACAGTTTGAATAAATGCCGTTAACTGTCAACATACATGTGATAAAAAATATCTGTTAACAAATGTAGAACTTATATACATGTTACCATCCTTTCTAAAAGAAAATTTAAAAAAAAAATGAAAATGGGGAAAACAAAAAGGCCTGTGAAAACTTTCATCAGAATTAATTTTCTAAGCAAATTAATGTCATTAAGATCAAATCACTAAAACTTGGCAGTAAATTATATAAGTGCAGTCAAGTCCCACTGCTCAGACAATTAAATTGATATCTTAGAGTAATCTCCCCTATTCAAATTTGAAGCATTTTATAAGTTTGTTCGTTTGATTGGGTTTTATGTCACATCAATACAGTATAGGTCATATAGTGATGTTCCAGCTTTACTGATGGACGAAAACCTCAGGTGCTCTTCTGTGCATTATTTTAGACAGGAAGGTAAAGCAATAAGATAAATATGAAATAAACAAAATATGTATCTGCATGTAATATGTAGATGAATCAAGTGTGTATGTTACACCAGAGTGTTTATGGTACTAGTGAAATATTACAGGAACAGGCATGCCATCGTATATGAGTGCTAATTTTTAGTCTTTTTGTTAACTTTTAGGTAATAAGGTGTAATCTCTCAAGATATTTTTGTCCTGACTTGTCAACATGATTCATCCTAAAGTAATTTCAAAGAAGCATATGCCTAATATACATATACTATCAATTCGTGACTTCCCGTCCATATGTGACCTAAATAAATGTCTGGTATTAACACTCCTGCAAGGACATACACCATCCGAAAAGTTTTAGCCGACACTCCATTTGGCAATTTTATTCAATCTAAATGCATAATTGAACAGGTGTAAATGTGCTTACCCTACAGTCCATTTAATAACTTAACTACTTTATAATATTGAATATTGATGTTATAAATTTATCAAACACACAATCAATAAAAAAAAATATTCATATGTTGTAAAAATTTACTGAAGATTTTGAAACATATATTGATCAGATCGAACTGAAAATAACCAAGCTAACATTTAGTGGTGTGAACACCTTTATTTTGATGACGTCACAGGATGAACCAGATTTCACAAATGGATGGGTAAGCGTCAAGCTGAGCAAGACAGTCATGGTTGACATATTCAGTTGCTCTGTTATTTGTTCTTTTAATAAGTAATTTAAAGTTTTTGAACTTCTAGATATTGAATTTATTAAACAAATGCACAAATCGCATTGTATGTATGTGTGATATTTGTTGCAATGTACAATATTTCAAAATAAGAGTTACGAATCAATGAGAGAAAAGCATAATTTATGATTTTCTTTTTACTCTGGTATAAAAATCTGATAACTTAAAGTAGGTTAAACAATAATTTTTTATTCCTAAATTCTTATTAAAATTTTCATATTATTACATTATTATTTACAAGATATACTGGTAAATATAATAGGTACTTTTAGAATTGACAAAAGAAAATTTAACATGTAAGGGAGACAATTATGCTGAAAACAATAGTGGCACCAAGAGTTAGCTACCTTGTTGGCTTTCCTCTGTAAAGTGGATATTTTACTCTCGGAATCATGCTGATATTCTCTCTTGTCTCGTAAAAATTGGGCTTTAAGTTGCTGTATTGTCTCTGAATGTTTGGAACGTAATTTCATCACCTCTTTCTCGAGATCTTTTATCCTGTTCAACTGCTCTGTTTGTAAATTCTGTAGTAATAAGTAAAGTAAATATATAATTATATTATGCTTGTTTTCCAATCCATATATATATATATTGTGATGTAAATAATATATGCTTATAAATTTGCTAAAATAAAAAATTTGTTTAAAGTAACTTTATATAGGGGGGAAAAAGTTGAAAAATATCTAATTCTGCGTAAATCAATTAGAAATGAATTGTAAATTTATTTCCTCTGTATAATACAGATGTAAGTATGCAAAATGGCGTTATAGACAGAGCATGGTTTGAGCAGCAGGCTTTTAAATTTTGTTTTGGATAAAAAGCATGCAAAAAGTCAATATCTAAGTCTGTGCATGGTAATTGAGCCATCGCATGACAAACAAATAATGGCTTTGCAGTCCAGATGGATGTACAGACCACCTGCACATTGCGGCGGCTGTCAGGATCGCATGCTGTTCGAGATTACACACTATAACAAATAAGAGAAACTGATATGCGAACAGCATGGATCCTGATCAGACTGCGCGGATATGCAGGCTGGTCTGGATCCATGCTGGTCGCAAACACACTATGTTGGTTTTGTCATGACACGGCTCATTATGTTAAACTCATTGTGCACTTTCAGCTTATTTATTTTGATGTGTTATTTAAATCATTTTTTGAATTTTAGGGGCATGTAGACCATTAATCATCAATTATTTTAACTTGTGACTCTGATCTGAAACTAAATATAATAGCATATATAAGTAAAGGGAGGCAACTGGTATGATAAAAATACTTAAAAGACTATGTGATTCATTTGTTGAGACATATGATATTCCCTTGTGTGATGTGCAACGAATTTCTTATACCACATGACACTTTGTATAGCAAAAACCTTTAACTTTGTTTATGATTATGGGCATCTAACATTAAATGATGAATTAGAGTTGTGGGAAGGGAAGTGGGACAGAGAGAAAGAATATAGTCTGTTCAAAAGATTATTCATTTCAGTTTTCAATAATTACCATAACACATTTTTTAAGTCATAAATTTATCTGTACCCTATGGTGATTTCCAAGTATTTCTCATTATATAGAATATAACAGAGTCTGCTTAGTAACATTCAACTTTTAACTTTGTTCATTGTTGGAAGATCTCCTACCTCCCCCTACCCTTGTCAAGATTTTTTATATATTAATCATCATATTTAAACGATCTTACTATACGCTATAATGAACCGAAGTAAGTTAGTTTTGAGTTGTTTTGTCAATAATTGCTTCATAATAATATTTTTAAGCTGAAAAAAAAATATTACAAGAATTGTCCGAGTTTAAACGTCCCCGTCTCAGGGAAAGTTTTATTATAAGCATAATTGTCTATTAAAAAGATTGCAAGTAATAAGAGTCAGACTTCACTCAAAAAATTAATGTACTCAATAGCTAGCATCTACAAATGCCCACATGGATTTATACGATACTGTAAACATGAAAACCGGAATCGAAAAACTTCTATCATGTTACCCCTTATGACCGCAATGGTGACTTTGACCTTGAGGTACGCGCGTGCAGATGTTGTGCATGACTAATAATCTAATTAAATATTACTATTCATGTGTTCAGTATTTTCAAAATCACCTTGAAGTCTAGTAGAAGTGTATAGAATCGGCACACAAAATATACCCCTAACACAAGGACAGCTATTATCAATCTTTGAACCTTAAGTGTGACATTTGGTAAGTAGGTGCCCATTTTTTGCGCTGACATGATTCATCTTATTATTTGTGATATTGTGCAAAGTATTTTAAAATTCCAGGTTATGGATCTGACAAAAATATACCCTATTCTGAGTATGGTAAATGTTTGACCTCTATGTGAACCTTGACTTGGAGTAGGGTGACACATGTTGTTATGCAGACAATCACCTTTATCATTGTGACTATTTGTGCAAGTATTTCAACATCCTTGATAATATGAAGAAGTTATAAAGAGGGCACAAATAAACCATCATACACTAGATCTGTTTAACCTTTGACATCTAATGTGACTTGACTTGTGAGGTAGGGTGTGCTAGGTGTGGTACTCCATGACATAGTTTGTCTTATTATTGTTGACTAATTTGTGCCTAGTTTATTTGCAAATATCTCTGAAGAAGTACATTTAAATCATACCTAACATATAGCGTTATCTTTTGACCCTTCTAAGTTGACTTGAAACTTGGGAGGCTAGGGATCAGTGTTGCCATTACACATTGTCTTATTATAATGACTTTTGGTGGCTAAGCTATTTAACAAAATCTTTGAATTATAAAAAAGTTATGACTGGACGAAAATATAGCCCTGTAAATAGACTATGTTAATCTTGACTCCAAAGTTGACTACCTTTAGTAGGATGACCGTTTGTTTGCACATGAAACATGTTCATTATAAGGAACAATTGTGGCAATTATTTACTAAAAGTCCTTCAAGATAAGAAAGTTATGGACGACACATTGAGTATACATCAAATAGACATGTTGACCTTTGAAGAGCGCAAGTGGACCCTTGCACCTGGAGGTAGGGTATGGTTGTAGGCATGACACATCGACTATTATAAAAACATTTTGTGTCCAAGTTATTCAGATTTCCTTTGATAAATGATAAAAGTTATGAACCGGACAGCTAAATATACCTCTGTAATAGACTATGTTAATCTTTGACCTCCAAGTGTGACTGAACCTTTTGGAGGGTAAGTTGACCGTTGTTGCGCATTTGACACATGTCTCATTAATTGGTGATACAATTTGCAAGTATTTTACAAAATTCCCTTCAAACATAAGAAAGATATGGCGAACGAATATACATAAATAGACAATGTTGAACTTGAATGAGAAGTGTGACCTTGACCTTGGAGATTAGGGGTCTGGTTTTATGCACATGAACGTCGTCTTATTATATAAGAAACATTTGTGCCAAGTTTTCAATTCTTTTAATAATGACAAAGTTAATGGACAGGAACATAAGTGTGATGGACGGACGAAGAGTACGTGCAGAGCTATACTATTATCCCTTTTTTCTTCGAACAGTGCGGGGAACCAAAGTGCTTAAGTAGCTTCAGCATAAACAATTATATTTCTGTCTTACTTCCATAACATTTACACAGTCACTGTCTTAAGATCAATTCTTTAGATGAATCATTTTAAAATGCTTTAACTTAACCCTTTAAACAATAGACGTCTTTAATAGATTTGCCCATCTTTCAATCTGGATAAAACCATTTATCATTTTTTAGGGAAAATGTCAAAATATATATTTTTTAGGGAAAATGTCAATATATGTACTGAAATATATGTACTGACTGAATAGCAAATAATTCAGACCATGATCAGATGGCACTAATGTGGGGTGCCAGCAGATCTTGGTCTGTACTGATCTCATGGGTGAAGAAGTTGCTACCAACAGGATATTCAGCCCAGTAAAGGTTTCAAAAAACATTGACAGAAACTTCTACCAATATGGTTCATACTGCAGTTTCACACACAATCAATTTTCAAAATTTGTACCTATTTAAATAATATTAACCTAAAGATACTCATTTACTGCTTACAAATTTATTTGTTTTCCCTTTAACCTTTAGAATACTGAACATACCTTTGCCACAAGTATAGAACAAGGTAATTCTGCAAATCCATACAGTCTCTGATCAGGCTTTATACATTTCAAATTTATAACCCTTTTAATATCCTCAAAATTTATTAATGGAAGGTGAAAAAAAGAAAGCTGAATAAATCTATTTCAGCTAGATGGTCTTAGACAATGCAATTTCTTATTCACTACTAAAGGAACCTAAGATTTATTTGTGTTCGTCTGACAAGGTTTGTCACTAGGATATTACAATAACTTCATATATTTGACAAAAGATACTTGAATGACAAGTGTCTCAGGTTAAGTATTTTGCCTGAAAGACTAGATGTCTGTCATTACACGAAGGGTGACTGTCATACATATAATAAAAACCCTGGCTCACAATTGGTTGGGAAAGTCTTCAATTTTTTAATACATATCTACTACTCTACATTGCTGTACACTCTTCTTCTCATTAAATAATGGAATAAACTAAGTGACCAAATTAATCTTCGACAAAACTGTCACATAAACCATATGCTCAGTCAAGGACAAAAACTTTTTTTTGTTTTTTGGTTTAAAATCGTACTAATACTGTAAAGGTTGTATAGTGACCTTAGGTGCTCTTCTGTGCATTATTTCAGGCATGAACGGAAAATTCAAAATGTAACAGTTAAAAAGCAATGAAGTGTAATCAACATTTAAGTTAGTTCAAGAATAAAAGATAACAAAAATATAAATACCTTTTTCTTTATCATTGTACTCTTCATCCATGATTTCTCTCTGTAGTTGAATATTTCTAATCTCTTGTTTATTATGGTCACTAAGGGTAATGATGGTAGTCTGACGTTTTGTCGTCTTCTTTTCCATGTAACTCATGTACTCATGCTGCAATTAAATCATTAAAGGTGCACAATAAATTTACAGTCAAGGAAATTCTTCCAGCACCAAATAATGAAAGACAAAATAATACTGTCTTTTGCTTTGTTAGGTCTTAAGTCCAGAAGGACACCAAACATAAACAGGAAAGGCGGCCATACTGTAAAGGTCGTCATATGAGTTGCCTTTGCAACTTTGTTGTTTTCACTGTTTATGTTGTAACATCAACCAATTTGGCAGGATTTTTTTTCTTCTTGGGGGGGGGGGGGGCTTTACTTGTGAAGGAGGACCTCTAAAGTTAAAGTTGCCCCTCTATTTTTTACAATTTTTTATTGGTTGACAATACTTTATTTCATCTAAGCTTTCGTCATTCATTTTAATTTTTCATGTATTCTATGTAATAAAAAGTTTTAAAATACAAGTTTACTTACACTTTCCACCCTCACTTTTTGAGCTTCTTGTTGCAGCCACTCATTCTCCTTTCGTCTATTGATTTGTTAAGTAACATATGTACAATGTAAATAAAATGTTTAAAAAGCAGAGCTCTTAAGTATGAATAAGAATAGCCATATTAATTTGGCATGAATGGTTTGACCCATTTTACAGACTGTTTTTTTCCTTAGTAACTGTCAAAAAACATCGCCCATCAATAATTATCTTGATGTCTCTTTGACAAGTCTAATTAGATGGATTAGATAGACTAGAATAAGGAAAACCTTATAATGACATCAGCAATGAGTATACCGAAATAACTAGGCCAACATATACTTCCATGAAGTCTTGCAAGGCTTTAAACAATTTGATGGTATAAACAATATACTTATTTTCTAAACTCAGAGCAAGACAAACACTATAAGAAATCATTTATTAACAGCAAATGCAAACCTTACAAGAGCTGACAGCATGCTTGACTATTCTCAGCGCTTGATAGTAAGAAAAAAAGGCATACCCTGTAGAAGGTAACTCAGTGTTGTGAGACCAGTGTCCATCATGTTAGGTAATCCCAGAGAACAAGTGTGTGAAGTTTCAACCTATTCTCTTTAGTAGTTTTGACAATATTAACTTGCACACAAAAACTTAACTTTAAAGTTGCCATCACCAGGTACTCTCAATATAATACCTCCCCCTTTTCTTGGAAAAGTTGAATAAATCATATCTATAAAATCTGTCACTGATCTTAATATCAAAGGGATCAAGTGATGTTTACAGTGACCTAAGTTTATCTCCCTTATTTTTTTCAGTAGAATTTTAAATGTTATAATTTTGATGATTTAAATATAGTATATACTGAAAGGATACAGATCTTCGACATTGCTCTTTGCATTCTCAAGCTCTTTGGTCACCTTTTCCAACCTAAAAATGATAAAAGAAAATTTAAAATAAACATTCCTATATAAGTATCATCATTGACAACAATGTTATAAATCAGTTATTACATAACTTAAGCTGAAAAAGAAGTTAATTGGAAATATTTCGTACTTTAAATGAATTAGCTTTACTTACTTACATCAATATCACTTATTGTTTGTTTCAATACAACATTTGTTACTATTTTGTGCTGAGAATTGCTCCAACCACTTTAAAAACATCAAACTTTACGAAAGATAAAAAAATCTACCTGGCATACAGTCGGACAGGCTGGAAATTTTTGTAAGAACAAAAGATTCAGATTATTTAAATTTGAGCCAAAACATTTATAACCTTTAATATTAAGATATATGTTATTTACATATTTTATTCATCATATAACACTTTTCATCAATATATATTACTGCATGTACATTTAAGACTACCTTATAGCGACCCCCTGATTTCAACGACTCCCTGTCTTATCCGACCTTGTTTCAGTCTTCTCAATATATTTTCCAATATAAATGGTTTGAATTATACAACTCCCTGTTATATGTGACAAGCAACCTTAATTGCCTGATCCTAATGCATTGCTTTGTCTGATTTTAACGACTTTCACAAGTTTAAATTGTCCATTAATCAGATAAATAATACCTGTTTCAACACCCAGAGGGCCAAAACAATTAAGTCCAATTACTATCCAGTAGTCAGTACATTTCAAACTAACTCTACACAACTCTGCCTCAATGACACGGTTTACATGTCAACAGGTATCAGGTGACATAGCGTCTACTCACTACTGCCAAATGCATGTTGCAATTGATGTGTGTTAACAAATTGAGGTGTAATGTGCAAAATGACCTGAGCAAACTGAATTAAGATTTGCGTTAGATTTCTTAAAAATGTTTATGAAGTGCCAACGAAAGAGTTTTTTAATAGGCATCATGTTTTTTTTTAATTTACCTTTCTATGGCTGCATGAATACTACGGAAAAATGTTGATACCAGACCTTTCATTTAAAGAGAAAAAACTTTGGATATGGATATGTTTTTTAAGTATGATATTTATTTTAAGGATCTAAGAATGTATCAAATTAAAGTTTATTTTATACCATAATAATTCAATATAAATCTAATACAAAAAATGAAATGAAATTTTATATAATATACACGCCATTATATTTTTTTTTACAGGGATTTATATTTTATTTTCATTTGAAGTACCTATGTTTATTTGCAATTGATTAGATATTATTCCTTCACACAGTTACGTATGTTAAGTCACAATGGTATAAGATAGTACTTAAATTTTAATTTTAAGAGAATCCCTGTCATATGTGACCTTTTTCTAAGGTTCCCTTCATATATAGAAGCAATAATACTCATTGTCAGTCCTGTCAAATCTCCTAAATGCCTTCGTGAAAATGACTATCTATCTATCTATCTATCTTCCATTAATGTCAAACCCCTCGCGGGGACGTAGACATGACTCTAGACTTCAGAGACAGCGATGAGATACAAGGGAATCCAGGAACCAGTCCCAAGCACTTATTGAATAGACCCCTTGGTTCTTTACATGCCCCGTGAAAAGCACTGATACATGCAAGTATTACCTGGATTTCTTACCAGTACATCTCTTTAGGTAGGTGGGAAACATTAAAAGTGAAAAATTTGCATTGATTGAATTCTAACAAGTGTTTACTGAATGTGACCCTTTACATATTGTCTGATATGGCATATGAAAAATATTTGATTTTTCAAAAACATTTTGATCATTAAAAATAAATGAACAAACACTGACATTTTCAAACAAAATGAATTTTAACAACAATTAAAAACACAGAATCATTGATTTGAGAATTGACATGATTGACTGTATCAATGTTCATCAACATTTTCTTACTCTTGTTGTAGAAGTGTTTCTTTTTGAGATGGTTCAGCACCTGCATCTCCATCAGCACCACCTTCTTCGCCTCCCTTTCCACCCTTCTTTCCCTTTTTACCCTTCTTTCCTTTCTTTCCCTTACCCTTTTTCTTTGGTGGCATCTTATGTTCTCGCACCTGTTAATGGCGTCCTTGTTGTCAAGAGAAACAAATGAGCCGCAGTAAAGAATTTATCATTTATTGTCAAAATAAATTGATATGGTTCAATATATATATTATCAATATTGTATATGAGATATTTTCTCTAAATCAAATTATTTGATTGTTATTTAGAATGAAAATGTATTGAGGAAGCATACGAAACTAAAGCCAAAAATCTTAAATCAATGAACGCTTGAAAGTTGTTCAATATTTAAATTACGCCTCAACTACCCTGATCATATTTATTTCCCGCAATATTCCAACATGGCAGCCCCCATAGAACAAGAACCGAAAACACCGACTTCTGGTAAAATTCCGGACTTCCTCGACCCGTTGTCGCCAAAATTTGATCCTAGACGTGCGTTATACGACAGTCAAACACCAATACCTGTACCAGACGCAAAACAATTCAATAATTTGGCTGAATTTGAAAATTATCTAGAAGGAAAAGATGCTAAAACTTATCAGAAGAAAAAAGCTAAGCCCAAAGAGGAATTACCAGGTATTGTTGCTGTCAGAGCAGCTGCCCAGGCCAAAGAAGCAATAAGAAAGGCTGCAATTATGGCAAAGAATGCTGGTCCAAGTGAACGATCTCAAACCCAAGAAAGAAGAAACAGAAGCACCACTGTTTTTACTAGGATGGAAAGTATGTTACTTTTTAAGTATGTATAAATAATATGAAATTAGGCAAAGCCTATGAACGGGGAAGTCGTTAAAAAAGTCCTTTCATTCTTTCCGTTTTAAAGGTGTGACTGTCATTCGGTATTACATGCACCGCTTCCGTTTTCACTCGGAACACTCGACGATTATTATCAATCTGAAAAGTTGAGATTTGTTCCGTTATCGGAATATCCCGCCTATTATCATTGAGTTACATTGTAAATGGCGGCGCCCGACTAGAACTGACACTGAACGCCCGACTAGAACTGACACTGAAAATTTCATTGATAGGTATAGAATTCTATATATTTTTAATTGTTTTTTTATTTGATTTTCTTTTAAATATACACGTGTAGTCTATAGCCGGGCAAGCCAAAGCCCCGTATCAGTGAAAATGTGCATTTTAAGTACAGATAAATTACAAGAAAGCAAAGCCAAAGACGAACAGGGTAGTCAGATAAAAATGTAAACCTGATAATCAAGGAATTGACATAGAAAATTTTGAGGTTTTAACATATTTCTGTTATATTGGTGTCACTAGGTGAGATATATGTGCAACCTGACCGGGACTCAAACCAGAGACCTCGGGAATATTATTCCGCAGCTCTACAGGCTTAGCTATCTGGCAGCTAACACATCTTCCCCAAATAGTGAACAGCCCAGAACCGAGACATACTCCCTGCTATATTGAAATTTGTCTTAGAATTCAAGTCTGACATATGCAGTCACAGCTCACATTGGGCGTCAAACATCAGTGTAAAAAAATGTGTAGCCTGACCAGGACTAGAACCAGGACCCTTGGAATTTAATACTGTGGCTCTACCGATTGAGCGATTCTGCAGTGAATGCACATATTTATCCGGTAAATAATAAACAGATCTAAATCATGTCATACTCTCCAGCTATATTGAAATCAGTCTTCAAATTTCTAGGTGTTACAGTCACAGCCCATGTTCGGCGCCAAATGTCACAGGGTGAGAAAAATATGAAGCCTGACTGGGACTTGAACCAGGAACTTTTGGGTTTCAAATATATTCTTGCTATTGTTTTAGGTCTATCCATAGTTCAACGGAAAGGGCAGAGAAGATGCAATTGGTACAATATACTCATAATTATACAGGACCCTCATGTTTGTCAGATCAAAAAGTTATCAAATCGAAAATGTCCAAGCAATAACAAGATGTAACATGTATTTCAGGGGAGGCAAATTCAATAGTCCATATTGCTCAGGTTCAATGTCCCGCAGCCTGCACAGAGACAAATGGAAAATTTCAAGAATTACTATATAAATATCATATGGACAAATTAAGAATGCTTAAGATAAGAATGGAATGTTCAGTTTTACTGTTAGTCAAAATCAGATTTTTGTATTTTATAACCGCTTTTAGTAGTAAAATATGCATCACTTTTCATTTGCTTCTGCAATAAATTACTTATTGCGAATTTTGATACATATTGTGACAGATTTGGCAAAGCACATCCCTAAATTTTTGTTCAGGTTTTAATATATGAAAGTTGGTAAAGCGTGTGGAATTGGATGATCTGAAAATTAAAGGCTAAGCAATATATTACAATGCTCATATAGAGTGGCAATTTAGAGTTTAACCACATCCTGTTAAGTGCCACAGAACTTAAACCTGTTGCTAGTTAAACAAGATAACTGGCACACACTATCCTCCGTCTTCTGAAGATGCAGTTATAAATTTACCCTTTTTCATTCAGTTTTCAATTTAGATTACTTGTACTTGTAAAATACATATAAATTTCTATTAAATATTACGTTGTGTCAAATAAATAGTACAGAAAACTGCATATATATGAAAGTTGACAATGTATTTAAACTTTGATTTTCATATTTAAAAAATGTTATATCATGATTCAGATTACAAGAAGGGACCGCTCAGTGTGCTGAGGAAGTGTGTTGAAGAACGTCTGCGTGTGATTGTAGTGATTCGAGCCGCTGTTGCTGTAAGAAGCCGATGTAGAGGATATGTGATTGGATTTGATAAACATTTTAATATGGTAACTTATGCTTGTTTTTTATGCTAATTACTGGCCGCAATAAAGGTAGCAGTATGCTTTCAACAGCTTAGCCTAGTGGTCCATTATGGAAGTTATTAATCATACTCTTCTGCCTTGGGTTTCACTTAATTTTTGTAGAATAACAGTAAGATTAAACTTATTTAGAAGTTTTTGTTAAGAATTTAATCTATTTAGCTTTGCCTAGTGATTATATTCCAATGGGTCCAAAATGGCCATTCCTAAGGGTCATTTGTTATATAAAAATATAGTAACAGAAAAAATTGTCTCTGAAACCAAAAGACAAGAGCTTAGATATCTAATTTTTGCATAACTTGACGATCCTCTACAAACAAGCGTTAAGTTTATGCACCTAGAGTTATATTTATTATAAAAAAATAAAGAAACTAGCTTGTCTGCATCACTTTCGTTACATAGATATGTATGGGATGAAGTTTTTAAAATCAGATGACCTTCATAAATATTTTGAAAGTGCCTAGACCTTAGATTTTTGTTAAGAAGCTTTGTTTTATTGGTAGCTACAAAAAAAATATAAATCAAAGTTCTGGGGTCGTAAACAGACCCATCACGGTAGTCACTGTTACATAAAATAAAGTTGTAGGTTGAAAGAAATTGATTTTCTATTTGCCGAAACTGTTTTGACCAAGAGCTAAGGTATGTGGTAGTAGTAAGTCAGGCTGCTTATTGAGCATTACAATAGTTATATACATTGTAAATCATTTTACAAGGCTGAAAGATACATGTATTCCTTCATTTGGAGTTTTTATCTATTTTTCCAATTACTTTCAGTCTGGTACATGTGATTTTGACCTGCTTTATTGTCAGTGATAGGTTTTTATGTAATTATGAAAAACAAACACACTTCCGATAATTTTATTACACGTGGAATTGAAAAGACAGTGTGAATTTTTATCAAAGAATTTTCAAACACTTTTGTATACTTGTTTGATAAAAAACAGATGATGTTCACAAATGTTTGAAAAAAAGATACCAGACTGTAAACAAACTTTACAAAATTGATTTCATAAAGTGTTAGAATATTTGGTATGATAGAATTCAATTAAAATAAATCACTAAGGGGTCAGTTGGTGTCTAATGAATTAATTTCTAATATTTTCTAATTTATGTTTTGTATACAAATCATTCAGTGGTGGCATGGCCAGATGGTTTAAAGCATCAGACTAGTTATCTAAGGATCGCTATCCGAATGGGTTCGAACAATGTCATGGGCCTGTCATTGTTTCCTTGAGCAAGAAACTCTACACTTGTTGCTCAGTGTTGGTTGGTTCCAGGAATGGATTCAAAAGTGTGACTAAAAGCTTCCAGCTCAACTAAAATAAATTCTGTATAAACCAAATACAAATCATTATAATTTCAGGCATTGATGGATGTAGATGAAAAATTTATCCGACCAGTTCCTCAGAAAATGGTAAATACACTTTATATCAAATAACAAATTCGACTTCTATTTGTACATGTATAATGATAGAAAAGTGTGTTCTTATCAATATTTTATGAGCTCAGCAATTTTTTAACATTGCGTAATAAAATTGCTCAAGACCTGATGAAAATTTTTCCATGTAATGTTTTAATATATACATTTCAAGAAGTAAATTATTTTACAAGGAAGTTAAACATCTATGTATGAATTTTATAATTTATATTAAATGTGGTTATCTATGAATGATCATACATTCTCTTATAATTTACATATGTTAAATGTTTATTTTTAAATATTGCCTCTTATAAATGTCCATATATAAAAACTCCTTGTCATTAAATGTCACATATTTAATTAAGTATATTTTCTGTTTATAACAAAAATTTTTTTGTTAAAAAAGATGGAAAATAAATTGATGTATAAGAATCATATGTATTGTCATGATGGTTTAGATTGGTGTTAAATTTTGCCAAGATTAATCTAAATTCTTGTTATATGTATATAGAACATGAAATCTAAGAAGGCTACCAGCTCCCAAGAGAGTTTGCTTGCAGAAGAAACAGACAAGTTATCAGTCAACTCAGATGTCTCTAGAGGTTGTCATGGAGATAGAAACTCAGAAATTAGACAGGCTGATCTTAGAGAAGGTGAAAAAAAGATTGATTTACGAGAAAAATTGAAATTGTCTAAAGCCAGTGGCGGAAAATATTCTAGTACTAAAACGTCAGTGTCAACAGAGACTTCTAGTGGTAGATCAAGTTACAAAGAAACTTTTAATAGAAGTTTTGATTCTAAAGACATTCTAGAGAGGTCAAGGTCAAAAGAGGGAAGAAAAGATGTAAAAGAAACTTCAGACAAGAGGTCAAGGTCAAAAGAGTTAAAAAGTTCAGGGTCAGGTTTTAATAAAGAAGGAATGTGTTCAAGAACTAAAGGAGTGCAAGAAAATTTAAGTTCAGATGATTCTTCTGATCAAAGGTCATCTAATAAAACATTAGAAAGGTCAGAGGTCAAAAGGTCAAGAGATTTTAAGGATCATTATAGAAACTATATGTCAGATAGTAATGTTTTTGTAAAGAGACAGCAGGAGAAACTAAAAGACAATGGTTCAAAATCAGATGGGGAGAGTAAACCAGTTTCCAGTGACAGACGAAAGAAAACTGGTGGGGATTTAAAAAAACATTTTCAGCCATTTTGGCCGTTATATAAAAAATGGACAGAAAATCGTTGCTATAGCGAGTATGAAATTGTTACAAGGCATGTGAACCAATTATTTATAAGGGGAGATAATGTTGTCAGTGTATCTATAGCTGATTATTAAGCTGATTATTTATTGAAAATAATAATTTAACACAGTTTTCTAAATTTCTGGTCTAACCTGGTATTGTAAATGTAATTATTTGGGGAATTAATGGAATCATTTTTGGATTGTTTATAAAAAGAACTTGAATATCTCAGGAACATTTTCTATTATTTAGTCATTGTTAAATCATAAACATATGCTTTTGTTTACATAATGCTTTTGTTCATATATATACAGCTACCATTTTTAGCTTAACTATACAAAGTATATGGAGAGCTGTCCTACTCCTCCGGCCTCCGCATCCAGATTTCAGATTAAAGTTTTAAGTAAAATATTTTACACTTTTTCATTTCTTAATTCAAATATATGTTCCTTAATCATCAACCACATCTTATGTGACAAAGTTCATAACTCTAGCTCCAATATTTTCAGATTTATCTCCCCTTGAACTTAGAATTTTCCTTAAAAAATATTATTTTTTACCTAACTTCTTTATTACTTAAAAAGTCAGCTTCATACTTCAAATATATGTTCCTTATCATCATCCACATCTTATGTGACAAGGTTCATAACTCTAGTTCTAATGTTGCAAGGATTAACCTTCCCGTTAACTTAGATGATTTTACTTGAAAAATGTTATTTTTAACTATAACTTCTTTAGTTTTGAAGATATCTACCTCAAACTTCAAATACATATTCCTTATCATCAACCAGATCTTATGTGACAAGGTTCATAACTCTTGAAGCAATATTTTTCAGATTTATCTCCCTTTGAATATACAAATTTCTTAAAGAAATATTATAACTTCTTTACTTTTTATGGTATCTACTTCAAACTTCAAATACATATTTCATCTCATTACACATATGTTGTGTGACAAGGGCCATAACTCTAGTGTGACTATTTCCAAAAATTTTCCCCCTTGAACTTGGAATTTAACGACAATAGCTTTTTGTTATTAGAAGAAATATATTTATATCATAATTGATTTTTCTTTAATAGTTTTGTCTTACTGCGTCCTGTATTTAATCAGTCGAGCTTCGCTGTCTCCTGTGACAGCTCTTGTTTGTTATGCTTTATGTTGGTTTGCTGATTTTATGCCAGTTTCATCTCATTTTTATACACCCAAAAATATTTCAGCATACATGTATATTGTTATGCACCTTGTTGTCCGTTTGTCTGTCTGTTAGCAGTTTCATGATCAGTCTGAATCTTTTGAAATGGTGGAAGGAAATTGAAACTTCTAGGCAGAAATGTTAACCATAATGAGGTGATGTGCAGAGCTCAGGTTTGACCTTTCTTAGGTCAAGGTCACACTTATGAATTTCAAAATTTTGTGTCATCTTTGTATCTTGTGAACAGATAGAAGGAAAATTAAACTTTTTGGCGGAAACATTACTTATAATGAGGCAATGTGCATAACACAGCGCTTTCAAGATCAAAATTATCTTAATTTTTGAATTATTCTGAATTTATGTCATGATTATTGAATTGAAATAATTCTTTCAGATTTTTGTAGCTTCAGATTTTTGTAGCTTCAGATTTTTGTAGCTTTATTGTGGGCCATTAAACAATTTTACCAAAACAAGCTATCATTGATTCTGATAATCAATTTGGGTACCACTTTTTGATCTTTTTCTCTAGTGCAGCAGATAAAGTTATCATTTCAGGATGACCGTGATTCTGCGATTTAAGAGTTTTCGTGACTCTTTAGGGATACATGTATCCTCCATTATTATTTTTATATTCGCAAGAGCTGGTATCTTTTGCTGTGTGTTGCCACCTAAATTGTAATAATATTGCTTTATTTTTCTGGTCCTTCAGGGTCATTGATTCCAATACTTTCAGTGTTGAGGATAAGCATGAGACTAAAAAAAAGGATTGGAGCACCACAGGAAATGATAAAATGCTAAAATCTTGCCTTTTTACCAAACAGAATGAACTTTAAAAGGTCTTATTCATCTTTTCACACGGATTTTTGTATGTAAATGCATGAAAAATGTAATAATCAGCGAAAAAAACGATATTTGTCTATTTTGTGATCATATTGTGAGGTACTGCTCCAATCCTGTAATGAGTTAAATCCTGAGGATAATACGCAGTTTAAGTCTGTTTAGGTGTCATGAGAGATGTCTAAGTTTCCTTTATCTCTTGTGAACACAGTCTGAATATAAACCATAACTGCAAGTTGAAACTATTTGTTTATGTTTCCTTCTGTTTATTGCTGTAAGGGACTTGTTCTTTACAGAATTGCAATATTTAGATGTGTCTTCTTACCCTATAGAAAATAATTGAGCTCCAAACAAAATGCGTTTGCGACAAGCATGGATCCAGACCAGCCTGCACATCCGTGCAGTCTGAACAGGATCCATGCTGTTCGCTTACAAACCCTATAACAAGTAGAGAAACTGATAGCGAACAGCATGGATCCTGATCAGACTCTGCGAATGCGCAGGCTGGTCTTGATCCATGCTAGTCGCAAACGCATTACGTTGGTTTTGTCATGGCGTGGCTCAATTATGTTTCCTTTGCTAGATGCTTCTAGGGTGAGGTGACTTTGACATTATAAGTAGATATAGGTAATTTAGAATATTTTATTATAAAGAGGCCATGATATATCTTCAGTAGATCTTTTTCATTATCATAAAAACAAAAGTTTAGTGGTTCTAGTACTCTCAGGTGCCCTCTAATGCCTGAAATTATACATGAAGGAGCACCTGACGTCTTCCACCACCTGAATAGCTGGAAAATCAATATATGAGTCGCGCCATGATAAAACCAACATAATGGGTTTGCGACCAGCATGGATCCAGACCAGCCTGCTCATCCGCGCAGTCTGATCAGGATCCATGCTGTTCGCTAACATACTCTATAACAAGTAGAGAAACTGATAGCGAACAGCATGGATCCTGATCAGACTGCGCGGAAGCGCAGGCTGGTCTGGATCCATGCTGATCGCAAACCCATTATGTTGGTTTTGTCATGGTGCGGCTCATATTAATGTTATTGTTACTCACTGAATCCTCCATATAAAAGCTGAAAAAGATACTCTTAAACTTTATGAATACATCACTATACTCAGAGTTCTTCATTAGTAAAGATATATGGCAGCCTATATATTTTGCTGCCTTTTTAGATAAATTAATGGATTCTCAATTCAAATGGTTTTCTTTTTTAATCTCTCTTATTTTAACAATGGACAGTTACAAATTTAAAGCAGGGCAACTTCAATTAAAATTTGTGTGAGAGATGGTTAAATGATGTAGAGCACAAACCTCTCCTTGTGTTCCTACTATTTTTAAACACATATACATGTATGTATATATACGTTTTTTTATGGGAGATTATTATTACAATGCAATCTTTGAAGTACATGTTGAATTATGTCTTTATTATGCCCCCATTTCGAAGAAAAGGGGGTATATTGCTTTGCACTTGTCGGTCCGTCGGTCCGTCGGTCTGTCGGTCCGTCGGTCCGTAGACCAAATGGTTTCCGAAGTGATAACTAAAGAAACCCTTAGGCCTAGGAACTTCAAACTTGGTATGGTGATTGGTCATGATCAGTAGATGACCCCTATTGATTTTGGGGTCAAGGGGTCAAAGGTCAAGGTCACATTGACCTTGTAAGCAAAAACGGTTTCCGATCAATAACTAAAGAACCTTAAGGCCTATGAACTTCAAACTTGGTATGGTGATTCGTCATGATCAGAAGATGACCCCTATTGATTTTGGGGTCAAGGGGTCAAAGGTCAAGGTCACATTGACCTTGTAAGCAAAAACGGTTTCCGATCAATAACTAAAGAACTTTAAGGCCTAGGAACTTCAAAGTTGGTATGGTGATTGGTCATGATCAGTAGATGACCCCTATTGATTTTGGGGTCAAGGGGTCAAAGGTCAAGGTCACATTGACCTTTGTAAGCAAAAACGGTTTCCGATCAATAACTAAAGAACTTTAAGGCCTAGGAACTTCAAACTTGGTATGGTGATTGGTCATGATCAGTAGATAACCCCTATAGATTTTGGGGTCAAGGGTCAAAGGTCAAGGTCACATTGACTCTCTGGGTAAAAACGGTTTCTGATCAATAACAAAAGAACCCTTAGGCCTAGGAACTTCAAACTTGGTATGGTGATTGGTTATGACCAGCAGATGACCCTATTGATTTTGGGGTTAAGGGGTCAAAGGTCAAGGTCACATTGACCTTGTAGGTAAAAAACGGGTTTCCGATCAATAACGAAAGAACCTTAAGCCTAGGACTTCAAACTTGATATGGTGATTGGTCATGATCAGTAGATGACCCCTATTGATTTTGGGTCAAGGGGTCAAAGGTCAAGGTCACATTGACCTCTTAGGTAAAAAGGATTTTCCGATCAATAACTAAAGAACCCTTAGGCCTAGGAACTTCAAACTTGGTATGGTGATTGGTCATGACCAGCAGATGACCTATTGATTTTGGGGTCAAGGGGTCAAAGGTCAAGGTCACATTGACCTTGTAGGTAAAAACGGTTTCCGATCAATTAACTAAAAACGCTTAGGCCTAGGAACTTCAAACTTTGTATGGTGATTGGTCGTGACCAGCAGATGACCCCTATTGAGTTTTGGGTCAAGGGTTCAAAGGTCAAGGTCACATTGACCTTGTAAGTAAAAACGGTTTCTGATCAATAACTAAAGAACGCTTTGGCCTAGGAATTTCAAACTTGGCATGGTGATTGGTCATGAGCAGCAGATGACCCCTATTGATTTTGGGGTCAAATGTCAAGGTCACATTGACCTTGTATGTTAAAACGGTTTCCGATCAATAACTAAAGAACCCTTAGGCCTAGGAACTTCAAACTTGGTATGGTGATTGGTCATGACCAGCAGATGACCTATTGATTTGGGGTCAAGGGGTCAAAGGTCACATTGACCTTGTAGGTAAAAACGGTTTCTGATCAATTAACTAAAAACGCTTAGGCCCTAGGAACTTCAAAACTTTTGTATGATGATTGGTCGTGACCAGTAGATGACCCCTATTGAGTTTTTGGGTCAAGGGTCAAAGGTTAAGGTCATGACCAGTAGATACTTGATAACCCTTATTAATTGTTTGATCACTGGGTCAGAAGTCATGCATAATAACCTTATCACATGACTAATTGGCTGCTGATAGGGGGCATACATGTTTTACAAACATATCTTGTTTAAAAAGATTAAGTTTGTAAATGAAATGATCATGAAAAATGGTATTGTTCTGGTGTACTGTTATTTAAAAGTGTATGTCTACTGAGAAAGTATACTTATTATGTAATATATTATTGACTTATTGAGTCCAATCTTGTTATAGTTGTTGTTGATAAATGAAAAAGGTTAAATAAAAAATATAAATACTAGGTCTTGTACTTTTTGTATCAGTTTATTCAGTGAAGCATCACAATTGTCATTATTACATGCTCATAAAGTTTCCGGAAAATGACATCATTAAATCATAGTATGAAAGTTACAGGGAAAAAAGTCATGTTTTAAATCATTGTATGTTGTAGTATATTTCTGTTAATTACAATAGGCATGCAGTAGAAATTACACAAAGCAGCTTTGACTGGTCGAGAGTACTGTTCAATCGTTTTTGTAGCCGGGTCAAACATCATGGTAGAATATTGGTTACCATAGCAACCATCGATTAAGATACGCCCGCCATGTACAACCACTCCAAAATGATCGAACGCAATGCCGGTTGGCGAAACTTCCAGTGCGTCGTCTTTAAATGTAACGACCTCGCCGTGGCCGTAGAAGATATAGATGGTGTTGTCAACAACAGCTGTTCTGCTCACTGTTGTCTCAAATTCTGGCATGTCACACACGACTTTGCAAGAATTTGTATCCGTGTCGAAGCACTGTACTTTTCCACAACTACTTTTCTTTTCCGATTTTCCTCCAAATATGTACACATTTTTCCCCAAGGTTGCAACGGCCGCAAAAGACACGGGTATTGCAAGTGAGCCAACAACAGTCGTTACGTTTGTTCTTGTGTTGTACATTTCGATCTCGGAAATTGGTGCTGGGACTTTCTTACTACCGCCAACAATGTAGATGTGACCGTCAATGGCTGTCATGCAATGCCCCCAACGTCCTTCACTCATATCGGCACATATTTCCCACTCATTATCAGTCGCCGAATAGCGTAGCATACGTTTCTGTCCTAAATACCCTCCAGAGAGATAAACATCGTTGTCACTTGAGCAGACGGCAAAGCGCGCGCCGGGCTCTTCCGGTATTGAAGCAAGGCTATACTCCTTTTCCTTGTTGAAACTGAAACACTTTATCTCAGTACTTTCTGGGTTTGGTTGTCTACTTCTTGTTCCAACGACACAAATTAGCTCCTCAGTACGATATTGGAACTGCCTCGGATTCACTGTTATTTCCAAATGTCCTGTGTTCCTAAAGTTTGTGATTTTGTTTAATATTTTCAGACCTGATTCAGAATTAGATAACAGTACATGCCTTTTCAGTTTTTCTAGGTACTCTTCGCTAAGGAGAGGATATCGTACAAAATTGAAGAGTTTTTCTAAGTGTATACTTCTTTGTTTAGGATCTTCAGCAATCCATCCCAGTACAGCATCACACACGACTTCTTCCGAGGATGCATTAAGATCATCAACATTTATAATTGCGATCAATTCGTCAACGCTCAGATTCATGAAGGTTTTGCACTTCGTAACGCTTTCAAAGTGTTCTAAAATATATACCAAACTTTGTTTAACAAGAGACGCACACCCAAGGTCCGATGCTAGTTTATATATGCCCACGCAAGTTTCAGAGGTAAGTCTCAGCACTAGGAAATCTTCACAGATATCTTGTAAACATGGAATTTGGAGCTGAACAGCGGCAGAGAGTACCTTTTCAGTATTTATTTCCACATCTTCTGTTTTACCCGTGTATATGTACAGTAACACCGTTTCAAATGTTTGACTTTCAATATTCAAAACATCTACTGTTTCCTCTTGCTTATGTAAGAATAATTCTTTGAAATAGTTGGACAGGGAGCCCAGTATCACGCGATGACACCTGTACGTTTTGTTTCCCGCCTTCACCGTCACGTCCGTGTTTTGCTGCTTTAACCACATTCCCTCTACACCCTTCGCCAGGTTATCCAAATATTTCTGACGATACTTGCGTTCCATAGTGTCTCGGTTTGCGCTGTCAACTTCCTCTTCTATAAAATATAAAATGTAATTTTTTAATATTGAAAATACAAAATTAGGTCTGAAAATGGCAGTGGTTACAGTACTTCAAAATAAATGGATATTTGTAATAATGCAATTGTAAACGAAGTTATTAGCTCTGTCTTTATAAATTGAAGATTTTATCATAATGTATTGTAAACTTCTTTTGCCGCAGGTATCTCAAACTGAAATTTTTCTTTTAGATAAGTCATCTTACATGACCAGTAATTAAAAATCCACCCCATTTAATAATTAACACTAAAGTTTTCACTTTAAAGTAATATTTTCCATTCTATAAACAAAACGCTGTACATAAAGTTACTTCTATAATATGACTGTTTTAATCCATTAGTAAATATAAACAGTATTAGTTTTTAAAAATATTATCTTAAAATCCTTACGCACTTAGCAAAGTAAAGTTGAAAAAACATTAATTTGCTGTAAAGCCGATTTCCAGTACGCGCCGCGATTAGAACAAAAATAAGTACATGCTTTTGCTCTTGACTTTATTGGTCTTTTTAATACAGGTCAACGTTTTGTTTGTTTTTAATCTTATTTAGTGTGGATTTTAAGCTATTTATAATTTTACTAAACATATACTGCATTGACAAAGGTTATTTAAAGTGTATAAACGTGTACATTTGTTTTGTAAATGTCTGTCATACTGTATATAATAGATACAGTAATTGTCTTAGTACGATAACATTTGATCATCATGTATTTTTTTTAATTATTGTATACTATAACTTATTGTTGAGTTACTTCGAATTATTTGCGTCCCATCACCATGGGTTCGAATACTGCGCGAAGATTATCGGAATCTAACGGAAATATTACATTTAATTATTTTTAGCTCTGTTTTCAATATACAAGTCCCTGTTTCTTTTCGATTACTAATAATACAATGGTATTTGTCTTTATTTACCGGCAAATATTTCCTTAATTACAGTTTATAAACTGAAGATACTGTAGTTAAACAAATATATATATAAAAAAATCAAATAATTTCTAATATTTCATCTCATTCATTTTGCTGCTATATAAGGAAAAATACTAACCTGTTTTGTCCGTATATTGCGAATTCTTATGTGTATTATTTAAAGGCGAAAGACTGTAAATACCATACACTTTACTACAATCGTTGATACCACTCGGACATGATCGAATAATGACGGAAAGTGCCGAAGATGGTTTGCGACGTCACTATGGTGGCTGATTTATGCCATGTCGTATTTTCGCTTCTTTGCCTCAAAATGCGAAAATGCGAAAACACAGAGGAACGACATCTCTTCGCGTTATCGATTTTTCGGATAAGGACCTCGAGCTATGAAACTAAACATGTAAACAGATAGTAATTTGATGCATATACCAAGTAAAAGTACACCTAAAATAAGTGAATTCATGGATACAAAAGCAAACGATACATTATTTATATGTTTATTATTATGTCTGTAGGAATAGAAAGTACAAAATGCCAACCTGTTGACATTAAGTCGGATTTGTTTAAAATTCTACATCAGTGGGCATATTTAAATCAGACATATTTTCAATCATCCGAAACAGACTTTATCTTCGTTTTCCATTATCGAATATTACACTCTCTGTTTCTGAAACCACGTGGTAGAACTATTTTCAATCCGTATTAACTCCGAGTTTATTACATATAATAGCCGAGGACGTTCCGATTAATTTTTATGGTGGCTGATTTACGCCATGTCGTGTTTTCGCTTCTTCGCCTCAAAATGCGAAAAGGCAAAAATACGAAAATGTAAAAATACACCAATGCGAAAAATCGAAAACACAACAATGTGAAAAAGTCAAAATACAACAATGCGAAAAAGTGAAATCACAACAATGCGAAAAAGCGAAAATACGACCGATGAAATGCAAATAGACGACAGGTTTTACTTGTCGTGTTGTCGCCCTTCTTCTGTCGCATATTCGCTTTTTCGCCTCGAAAATCCGAAAAAGCGAAAACACGAAGAAACTTCGCCCATTCGTAATTTCGCATTTTGGAGGCAGAGAAGCGAAAACACGACTTGGTGTAAATCAGCCACCATACTGTTAAGATGGACCAAAAAAGTATATTCAAACCAAAACAACACTGTTCTGAAATACGGAACGACTTTCTTAACCTGTCTCACACTAGTCAATACCATTTGACGACTTGAGCATACTTAATTGGGGTTACAATATTGCTTTAATGGAACTATGTCTCACATTTCAAATATTCAGAGTAAAATTAGTTGGAACAATATCGTTTAGATTAACAAATATTTTTCACTTTGTTTTATTTCACCCTACCATTTCGGATACATTTATAGTATAATTGTTTCTTTGTAAAACATTTGCAATCCATGATGTAAACCGAGCAACATTTGTGTAAACACCCGGATGTTGCGCCTGCGCACACCCTTCTCCCCATGAGATTATTCCTGCAACGTACCATCGACCATTTCTTTCACAAGATAAAGGACCTCCTGAGTCACCCTGTAACCAGAAATAAAATTTAAAAAAATAGAAAACAAAAGCTTCATAGAATTGAATAATCAAGTGAATTTGTTTCTTAATTTGGTTGGATTTAGCGTTATTTGTTTGGTAGAAAAAAGTAAGCCAAGTTATTCAGCAACGTGTCTGTTGTTCAACGCCATGTGATTGCATTGGCCTAGTTAACATAATCTGGGACATAATAGGGAGAATGCTGTAACATTTATTAACCCGCATGTCCTCAGTAACTACTTATTCTAACCGTTTCAATATTAGCTTATAATATTGTTACCTTGCAAGCATCAATGCCTCCAAATTGGTACCCGGCGCATAACATGTTGTCATATACAGACTGATTATACCAACTATTACATAACGTTTTGTTCAAAATGGGTACCATCGCTTGTTGTAGCGTTCCAGTCAATCTTGTTCCTATATAAAAAGTCAATAGCATGAAAATATCATCTCAGTAAAATATTTACATTCTGTACTTTAGATTGTAGATATGAAGAACATTGCAGCATGAATGTCAATTAAGTAGTCGAGAAATTGGTTTATATATATGTCACGTACCTTTCAAAGTTTCGCCCCATCCTGTTACGTAACAATTTGAGGACGAATTGAATTCGTCATCTCCAAATGTTGGAAGGCACGCTGTCTTAATATAGGACGAACTTGTGTCTACAGGATGTGTAAGTTTAATCAATGCTATGTCATTTTCGTGTGTCTCTCTAACATATTTGCTGTGAATAAAAACTTTTTGAACAGTATTAGCTTTTTCTGTTGGATCCGGATGAATGTTGTTTTGGTCACCAACGATTACCCGTAAGGACAATGATTTTAGCGAGTATCTTAAATAGAAAAAGCAATTAAAATTATTACGGTGTTAAAACGTGAATTTTACGTTTAACAGTAGTATTATATCTATGCTGCAAATGTTACTCGTGTATCCTAAAATAAACAAGAGCAACAACAACAACCAACAAGTGAGTTTTAGATTTACTATTTTTTTAGTAAACAAATAAAAAATATAGACCAAAGAATTCCTGCGAGGGAATTTGAACTTAGTATAATCGAATCTGTGCATTATGATTGGCGCGTCTTTTGCTACTACTGAAAAGACCTGTTGCAATGAATTCTGATTTAAAACTAAAGGGGTGTTATATTACTTTATCATTATTGGAATAAAAATAAAACTGCAATTGTAAACACATACGAATCAAAACAATGCGCAGCTGTCAAAACCCAATTTTTATCAATCAAAGTTGCTCCACATAAATGGCTGTCTGATACCCCACCTAGAAATTCTATTTTTAATGATGTCATCCAAGGCCATGAACCAGGCTGTGCATCGCTCCCGCCCACAATTCTATGTGCTATTGGTGGAACCAATTGAATACCGCACTCTCCTGAAGAAAGAAAATATGAAAGACATGCATGACGAAAAAATTTAAAATTTAGAAACTCGTTGCTGTGTCACTTTAATCCAATAGTTTTCTTGAAATGATATTTTATTTTCTTATAAAAAGTAAAGGAGGTGAGGCCCCAGCTTAAAACCTACTGGATTTTTAATCCCACTCCGCAGTTATGTACGTTCTTAAAAAATGTCATTATTTCCAAAAAGGGCAAACGTTCTTAATTCTATTTACTGTTACAGAATAATGGCAATTCATCTGCCCCGTTCGCACAATCGTGTCTGCCGTCACACAGCCATTTTCTGGGTATACATTTTGAATGGTTTGGGCATTTGAACTGGCTGTCCCTGCACCGTATTGGTACTGAAATAGAAAAAAAAATGAATACATAAATATTTTATTCTAATATTGCTTTTGAATAAGTTAAGCAAAATGAATTATGGAAAGGTGCAAATATTCTTCTATGATGGCGCGAAAGTTTTTCTCCGCAGCGAACGCCATCATTATGAAAAACGCGAAATATTGTTTACGCGAAAGTTTCTAGGAATACAGTATCTTGAAAATGGTTACCGATATGAAATTATGGAGAAAAGTTATTATTTTCTTGTTCCACTTCATTAATAATAAGTATTTAAAACTTTAGTATGCTCCTTTATTTATATTTCTAACGAAACCATAAAATTAAAATTAACTAATTCAAAGACCGTTGCTAATAGTATCAAATAAAAGTTTACTCACTTAATGCGTGGTTTTCAAAAGGAGGCATACATTTTACTCCTGCATCCTCGCTATGTAAACAATTGATTTTTGTGGGATCTAAAATAAATTGTAATGAGTAAATGAATTGGCCTGATCAACTGTGATTAAGTCAGTTGTTCTCTGAATAATCCAGAGAAAATATGTTTATTGTCACATTTACAATTCAAGTAGACTAAATTTAAATTCTCATTTTCTTACAAAAACAGTTTATTAGGACAACGTTAAAACTGCTGGAATTGACAAAATTTAATATACATTTTATTTGGGATTTAAATGCATTTTGAGCTCCACATACCAAGTGTCTGTGTACAGTACAAGATAAATTTAAATGTGAATAAGTTTCATTTATATTAAGAAATGCAATGAAATAAATGTGCTTAATAATTATTTTGGTGATTTTTTAAAATAAAATTTTGAATTTGATTAAAGAACGCGCGTTAACAGTAATTGCTGAATGTACTTATTTCTCAGTCTGTTCTGCAAATGGAATTCGTTTTCAACAATTCGCATATTACAATATGTACAAATTAAGTTTTGCTTACGAATGTCGGTCAGTTATTTCTAGTAAATCATAAGACGAAGTTCATAATCTGCACAATTTTACACAAAATTTAGATTATGAAATGCTAGGCTTTATTTGCTACTTATAAAGAGCAGTACACTTGAGGTCTTAGACGTGCAGTCAATATTGGTCACAAAACAAATATTTATCTAACTTCTGAACATGTTGAAATACAATGCATAATTGTATGACTGAAATAGTAACAAATGATGCAAATAATCCATTCTTATATTTAGATAAAAAATTGAAATAATTGTTTAATGCCCTTGTAGATTTTTTTCTAATTTTCATTTCTTAAAAAGGCTTCACCGAACAATTAGCTTTTATCTTATACTTTCAATATATTTGTAAACATGTACTGGGAAGCAAGAGAAAACTGTGTAAACTAAACTAACGAGTGTAACCTTACGTGAGGGGAACGGTGCCCTAGTGGTTAGGGTCTCTGCCTCTCGACTCAAGGATCATGGGTTCGAGCCCTAATTTGATCACGACCATGTTTCTTCATGTGGCACCAGTACTGGTTGGTTCCAGAAAGCGGACTCGAAAGTGATCAATATAAGCTGAAAGAATTTGTTTCGCAATCGAGCTTTAATAAATATGTTAAAACCAACCTACCGTGAAGTCCTGGACATTCTCCAAGACTATTTTCTCTACTTGTACATTGTAAATCAGAGTGAAATATCGGTCCACTACCTCCACCAAATTGTGCCTGTATCATAAATAATCAATTATGTTATTTGTAAAGAACTGAATTACAGATTTCATTAAAGAATTAAATATATACATAAGATTCGTTTGTTGGCTTCAGTTATTAATTTCTTGATTTCGTTGGAAAATAATTATCTACATTTTCTTTCTATTCTTTTCAGTTAAATGTCACAATAGAAATATCAGATTTTGAATGAAATAGTTGCAGATGATTATGAATGGTTTTTGATATACATGTCCACGACAAATATAATTGAAATCGTTCATTGCTTCCTTGAAGAACACAATCTGAAAACAACCGATGCTTTTTCTTTCCGCCTAATTGGCCGGTATGCCAACTTGATCTTTATGTTACCTGAGAAAATACTTCTAATTCACGGTTGAAACCTAATTGTCTGCAAACGACATAACCATCAAATGATGACCAGTGGTCATCACACACTGTCCCCCATGTACCATTTACATAGACCTCCACTCGTCCTTCAAATGGTGTTCGGCCATTTGCAAGGCGCACATCATTCCAAGCTGAAGCATACAGAAAAATCTTAAACTTGTATATTGCATTTTCATAATTTTATGTTTAAGGCATAAGAGGTTAACAAGTGAGAACTAACAATAATTAAAGTACAAAATATATCATAAAGTTGTCTCTAAAATGACTCTATAACTACACATCACCTGACTTTTCGTTTATAGTTTTATGTTGCATTATAAAATGAAAACAACGCCAATTTATTGACCAGGCGATTTAATTACCTTTCCTCATTCCTTCATTATAGTATATTATTTGTTGTTGGGTTTTTTCTTTCTTTTTTTCACTTTCACAACAATTTCATTGCTTTGAATAAAATGAATGCTATTGTTGAAAATAAATTATATTAGCTAAAATTAAATTAATTCAACTGCGTAGATTCAAATAAACATAGCATTCCAAATAATCATTCTTTTTGCAATCGTGTGAAAGTGAAACAAAAAAAATGTAAGTTTAAATTCAAAATAATTTGAATGAGATGGGATACAGAACTGCGTCGTATCCTTCATTTGTAAACAAACTACGCTAATTTGGAAGCTCCTAATATTCCCGCTTCATTTGGTGTATGCAGCTTGAAAATATTTTTTGTAAAACATAGTTGCAATTTGGAAAGAAAATAAGCGAAAGTTTGACAGACACAACGCACTTGATTTTGCTTCATTCAGCGTTTTCAACTAAAAAATTGTTAAAATATTCTCGTTCCCCCTAGATAGTAGAGAATAAAATATTCTTCTGAAGAATAAACATTTATCCATCACATACTTTCTTTAAAGCTGACTTAGAAATAAATAGATTTTAGAAATAAATGGATTCAAAGCAACAATATAAACTTTGGAAACACATACATCTTAGTTTGATATTTCTATATGTAAGTAACGTAACATGCACCTTGAGAAATTGGCTTACAGCGTGTTTCATTTTTGCTTGTGCATGTGGCTGAACAATAAAACCTGTATCGTCCTTGTATAAACTATTTTATTTGCTCTGCATTTGCTTTGTTTGAAATACATTAGATCAAGAGTTCTAAAATAAGAATATTTATGTGAACAAACAAAAGAAATGATTTCAACGCAAAAGATACAGTTGTAAAATCAATGCTTGAAGTTTTTTCCAGCTTGTTGACCTTGACCAACTTAAAATGAAATGTCCTGACAGGGTGATGGTACATGCAACATAAATACCGCCATGATCTGACACATTAGTCTATAAATAAAAGTTTTATATTTATTACTAAGAAGAAAGACATGATTTTAGGCAACATGTCCTTTTAAGAATTTTTCACTCAAGGAAATCACTTGAATAGACTTGGTGTTGAAGAAGCCACTGGAATCTTACTCCTGATCTTAAGGTATCTGATGAAAAATAATTCCAGGTATTTCCCACATGTATCTATATAAATAATAGGCGTGACCAAATCTGAAGCCAATGTCGCGATTTAAATAACCTTGATAGAAGTCTATAAGGAATTCGTTCACGCAAAATGCCTATGCGCTTTGATTTCTGTTTCAGAGAAAAAAAAAGTCTGAATGTTTTACTATTAAAATATGTTGTTGTTACCAAACTATGCATATTATGTTCTGTTTAGGCTTTAGAATCATGGAGCTGGCAAGGCGGCAAGCAAGATATAGTTGTGTTAAATGTTCTGCTTGTTGAGTTAAAATAAAACAATTGACATATGATGTATTATGTGTATTATTCGTTTACTAAGGTAGCTGTATGATGATTCTTTTTCACGACACGCCGGTTACAATGATTTTTCTTTTGTTTTCTTATTTGAGACAGATTTCCGCTTCATGTGATATATAATTCATAACTTTTTATTAATAACTCTTACGATAATAACTACAGTGCACGAATTTTTTGGACAACCCTCGTGCAAGTTCAATATAATAATAAAACATCTTGTAAATGATGCATGTACATTTAATACACCTGTCTTAATTATTTTTTAAAGATCGAAACCGAGAAAACAAGAGTGATAAAATATGCACATAATATTGAAATTAAAGCCATTTGCGTTTTTAATTGAAAAATATACCTTTCTCCTTTCCGAGATGGCGGATGTTTTTTACAAAATGAAATATACAACGTTGTTCTGATTTCGGTGGTACATAATTAATTGCTGTTTAATGCCGATATAGATTATGTTGTTGTTTTTCAATCAAACTTGTGTTATGAAAATATCATCATGATCCATACTACCAAATTCATATAAAATAATAGACATTACACTTATGTCTTTGTCCGGCCAAAATCAGAATCATAAATTAAGACAGTTGTTGGATATCTCAGCTAAAATATTGCAGTTACAATATATTTTCTTCGCGAATAATAGTCACATAAAAATACAGTTCAATTTTTAATTTCTTAAATATTTATAGTCTGCTTGTCACAGAATACCAAAATTGATAGAAAAGTAGGTGGCACTTACCGCCAGTTGTCTAAAATGTTTCTTTATCAAGTTCTTTATATTTACCAGGAGTCTTAATTATTATATTTCTCTGGATTTTTTTACTAAACAACTTTCATTGTTTTTTGTTTTCTCATTAACTGACAAAGACTCACCTTCGTGAGGCAAGTCCGTTCCAGATGTCTGAAAAATTTCTAACACTAAGATAATTGTTACATATAGATTAATTCCATATAGTTGTACCATCTTATATCATTCAATATATGTTACTCCTAGTTGCAATCCAGTGCCTGAGTTTGTTTAAAAGGTGATAGGGTTAATGCCCGTTTCTTCATTTTTTCTTTTATATATACCGATTACAAACAAAAAAAATCAGCACTTGCACTCAATCACTCGCATGTTTTTGGATGTTACACATTTTTGTCAAGCCTTCTTTATTACTCAACGAGGGAGTCCTAAAAGTTTTGAATATTAAGACACAGCTTATCAGACAGTTTTTCTATATACGTAAACGTAAACACATTTCAAGATAGCCAATGAACTATTACGGCCAATATTTGTGAAAGTCATATCAATTATAAATAATCAAACAAATTTGTCAAAAATTATCTTTTGAATGAAATCAAAATGCTTTCAGAAAGTTTGATATGATTTGACACGAATAACGTCACGTTATTTGTTTATTTATTTCTGAACTAAATGGTTCTCTTTTGATTGAAGAATTAGTAAGCTTTTACGTTTTGGTAAATATTTGATTTATTTTATTTGACTTGCGAATTAGGTACAATATCGAAGCATTTTCCATATGCCGTTTGACGAGTTTTGAGGAAACATTTGTCGAATCGAGGTTCTAGCATTGGTCAGATTCAAAATTTCTATAAGTAGATCTAACAATTAACTAACCAACAATATTTCGGAATGTAATTATAGATGAAGCCATCGGCTTTTGGCCACATCGCTGTGTTAGAAAACAATATCTTAAATGAGAAAAGACAAAAGGTCTGCAAGTGTTCATTCGTCAACGTCATTCACATTTGAATAACATTGATATTGTTTAGAAAGATTTAGAGTATATTTGACGATGGGTATTATTTTTACATTAATTTTTCAACGAGGTTGCAATTTAAAAGTATGGAAAAGGCGGGGAAAACTATAGTAAAATATCTTTAATAAAACAATATAACCTTAATCTAAATGTTGAGACTATAAGTTAAATTCTCTTATCATACATGTAGCAAAATATTCCTGAAATGTTAAGGGACAGTAAACGAATATTTTCTTCTTCATCCTTGAAAACATCTGTTTGTACACCCTTAGACCCTATTGGGAAGTTTTTCTTTCACGCCAAAACAAACACGACTTCACAACATTCGTGATGCAGAATGGAGTAATTCGGACATACTTCGGGCATTCTATCGCCCTTTTCCTTCCGCTCGCACCCAGTTTTATCGTAATCAACATAAACAAGGTTGTAACCTTGTGATTAAGTGGTTAGGACCGTATTCTTTTTTTGCAAACTGTCATCACATGATATCAAAATAAGATATTGCGTTCGCTTTAAACCAATGATGTAACATTAAGTCATCTGAGTCCAATGTGACGGTAACCTCTACCCTTACTTTACCTGACACATTTACAAGATATTTCCTAAATATATCAATAGTCAATGTGTGCTTAGCTCGATATACTTTAGTGCGACGCAGTTTTGATTTCCACTAGGAAAAATTTAAACAATATTTTTATGCTTTATTCTTTTATAAGTATATTATAGTCAATGAATATATTATAATTCTTTAATATAATGTAATAATATATAAATATCAAAATGATTCCTATTCATTCCTTATGTTTTTAAAGAAAAGAAAACAACACAACTTCACAACTATACAAACTAAAAACTCTGAAAACCGGACCCTGTCCGGACTTGACCAAAAGTCCGGTTTTCAGAGGATTCCGGTTTTCAGAGGTTTAATACATTTATTGATAATTATGATGTGTTTGAACAATGACGAACAATGACTTTGTTCAATCATTTTGTATTTACTTTTCAACCCTTTTGTCTAAGTCATATTTTAATCTCTTTTTGCAATAAATGTCTTACATGTCTTAAGTATTTTTATTATGCAAATACATGAATATAATTCTGAAAAAGAAAAAATAAACAACACATTGTCTGAAATAAATCTTTTTAATTGGCTTTTAAAATACGTAATCGATGGAATTTAGTATTACTATTTTTGCATATAATTAATATCCAAACAAACATAACTTCAAGGTCAAAATTTTCAGCAAAACAGGAAGCATTTAACAAAAGTTTCCCAATTCTTTTTAGTTTAAGACATTTTATATTAAAAAAAAATTAAAACATTTTGAAAAATTATTCCTATGCAGTGAAAGACACAATTATGATGAAAGAGCTTTAATTTAATTGCCATTAAGAAATTAACACACATTGACAAGTGTTTTCACACCTGCATAGATAAAAAGGTGATCGTTAATTGGTAATTGAACATGTCAACAGTTGAGATTATATATGTTTTACGATACATTAAAATACACAGAACGTTAACACTTAAATTGCTGTCCGGTTTTCAGAGGATTTTTTTTTTATGCATGTTCAGCATTAGAAAACATAGAAAATCGTCCGGTTTGCGGAATTCAGAGGTTCCAGTATTCAGAGGATTTTTTCAATGAACATATAAGGAGAAAATACGGGACTTTTAAAATGGCCCGGTTTTCAGAAGATTCCGGTTTTCAGAGGGTCCGGTTTTCAGAGTTTTTACTTAATAATCAATATTAAACATTGCACTTTAATCTTGTTCATGGTTTTTAAAAACCGGAAATACAATTGTTTATATTGCCAAAGGAAATTGTCAAATCATTTTGTTTTGTATGATACGCAAGTTACTTAAGTTATACTTTAAGTGCATACAATGAATTTTCAGCATCTCTACTTACTATCCTGATTTTTTTACCTTCAAAACATGAAATTTAAATAGTTTAGTATTATACGCATATTCTTAATGCCTGTTTACAATTGAGTGATGACATTCATTTATGAACATGTATTTATAGCTACAGTCGATACTTTACTTCAATGATTCCTTTCACGAGAAGAGTACAGACATAGGCAAGCAACTGTAATGCGATTTTATTGTCAAAGAAAAGATTGCAATCAGGGTGTAACAATAGAGTTCGGCTTACATCAGCTTATTCTTAACCCTAAATGATTGCTTTTCAATGTCAAACTAAGTTGTGCCTAATATAAGAAATAACAGAAAATGCACCTAACAACATTGTGTTGTTTACCAGTACCAAGAAATAAAATAAGTTTCAGGTATGAACGATTTTTATAATATAAATCGACTATAATATAATATAATAATAGTTTTATACGTGAGTAAATTTTATACGACAATGTTTACTGAATAAATATCACATTTAGTGTATTCTTGAATTTCGTTCAAATCGTACTTTCTGTTGAAATACATTTATTATCAACTTAAATATTAAAAAAAATGCACTAAACTTCCGATCTTCAAAGTTGTTTGTAAGACAATTTTATCAAAATAACTTGTACTTTTATGTACATACATATATACCTTTTTAAACCATACAAAAGACTATAGTAGACAGTGAAGTAATTAACGATATTTCTTTCTAACCCATCAAAGATGATTATAAAGGCGTTGTAAAAATAACCTATTAAGTTAATTAAATTTCTGAATTTTGTTTTATGTCACTGCCAATCCGATTTGAAATTACAGCGTTGCTAGCTTAGTTGGGTCAAATCACGTGATTTAAATTAGCATGCTGTCTTTTTCACGTCACACGAAACTCTTTCATATGACACTTCATGTCTTACTTAAAGAGATGTAAGTACTTTGGTTTAAAAACCAGGGTATAGATATTGAATGTGATAGTAACCTAACTTGATATATTCCCGTTTCATCCAAACCCGTATCATGGACCAGATCACATCAAAACCGAACTGAGCAGCACAGACAATAATGTTGATCTTGAGAATTTGGAGAGTATAAATGATATCGCAAATAATACTTGGCCTTCATAACATTTGTTTAAAACATGGCTTGAAAAATATCACAATTTGTAACCGAATTATATATATCATTTAAGTATAACTATTGAATTAAATCACCATTAATGTAAGATTGATCAATCAGACCATCATGACTTGTGCAGTCATTCGGTAAATCTTCCGGCTTCTGCCCCCCATAATGCACTTTATTTTATCGTAAAGTTTTCAACATTAAAATTACTTATTGGCCGATCTTTTATTCGTTGATTTGGAAAAATCTCTCACAAACAGAAAAAAAAACCAAATTTAAAGATGAAAGAACAACAGAATAGTTACGAAACTCAAAAAGCGCATGGCCTACAAAACACATGTTAACATATAAATCATGCAATAAATCCGAAGTAAGCCAACTGTAATTATTCTTGGGTAACAAAAAACAAAAGCAATCCTCTTATTTTCTCACCAATTCTTAATGAAAAGCCACTCTCGTGGCGAAAAGCATCATTTTAATTAACTCATTTCACGTAATGTCGAGAAAAGACGCTCTCAATACACGGAACGCGCAAGGGTAAAAATAATTAATTAAAGGTGGAGACCAAAAAGATTATTTTACGCATCGTAATAAAAGATCTTTCTTCAGGCATGGGGCTCTATATTCAACACTGGTTTCCAAGTTGGACACTTAATGAGGAAAGGAATAATTGTAAGTTTTGTTTTATTACAATATAAGAATATGTTATTAGACCTTGTTTTTTTGTCTCATAAAATAGGTATTTGCATATGAAAATGCATCAATAAAATGCTTACAATTATTTTTTAGTTTATAATACATAAAACATTTTTAATCGCTTTTAGATATTAAGCAATTTGTATATAAGCTTAAAATGCAGATATTTATTTGTTTATGTAATTAACAAATTGATTAAATATCTAATTCTAAAATAAAAGAAAACAAGTAAAATTTGCAGGATGTTTAAAGCATGCTTTGTTACATTTCAGTGTCTCTTATTTCATTTTGAATAAAGAAGAATGAACGTGTCTTCTGAAACTACGGTAAGTTTTTCAAAAGTTCCTTGTACAAATTAATGCAATGATTGAAATAATTAGATTTAAATTATCATTTACAATGCATGTTGAAAATTTTAACTGTCATTCAGAAGATTCAGAAAGAATTAAGAAATTTGCGTTTAAACTAAACTATTCCAGAGAATGTTTATCGCATTCCTTTGTCGCATTTTATTTAACTTTTCTGGCAAAATAATAATTTTGATGCAAACCAATTACAGGTTTTTGATGTAACATCACCATTAGATGTCACGACCGAAGCGCCGGACACGACCTGGTCTGCAAATACTACGATGACTGGAAGTGTGGCTACGGCGGTCATGTCAACTGCAACGGATCTAACAACTAATATTGCGGAGACTACAACCCATTTATTTGATACGTATGGTATTTTCATACATCCGCACTGGAAAAATTTCCCTATAGTTTCAGACGAATGGCATTACCTGATTGGAATAATTATAACTTGTGTTGGAATAACAGGGATCATTGGAAACTCCCTCGTTATTTGGATGTTTTCAAGGTATGCTGCGTATCTTCATACTCTATTATTTGGAAATTATTTAAATTTATTCAAGTACCTATAAAGCTTATGTTGTACAGGTTTTTTTTATCTTGATATTTCGTGTGCATCAGAATATGTTTCCTGTAACAATTTTAATTTTTTTACATGATTTCGTATTTCCTTTTCTTTTTATTTTCGTCGGATTTTCTTATTGTTATTGGTTGTGTTATTTTAGGGAAAAGTCGTTGCGAACATCTTCGAATATGTTCATTGTAAACCTTGCCATCAGTGACCTAACGTTCTCAGTTGTAAATGGTTTTCCTCTATTCAGCATCTCATCTTTTAACAAAAGATGGATATTTGGGACAGCTGGTATGGCATAACACTTTTTATATATATAATAATTATTATATGCAGCACATTATTTCAATATTTCAATGGTGAACTATTATTTAATCGGTACATTTTCATTAAAGCAGCACCTAAGGAAATAACAATCTAAAATGATTTTTAAATAACACGTACAATTTTATTCATTCTTTATGGGTTTTGCTATATTCTTTTTGTTGTAAAGAAAGAAGCTTACCAGATGTGCACACATCTTTGATTATTTGATTTCAGCATGCGAATTCTATGGTTTGATTGGTGGAATCTTTGGGCTGATGTCAATAAACACCATGGTGGCTATAGCAATTGACCGTTACTACGCCATAGCTCGTCCTCTACACGTAGCTAAATTCATGACACGGAAACGAGCGTTTCTTATGATCGTTACTGTTTGGATATGGTCATTTGCTAGCGCAACTCCACCTATCTTTGGTTGGGGCCGGTATATTCCGGAAGGATTTGGTACATCTTGCACGTACGACTATCTCACACGCACAAACAATAACATAACCTTCATATTTTTCATGTACATTTTCGGATTTGCGGTGCCACTTGGTGTTATTATCCTCTGTTATGCAATGATCATACGGGCTGTCAAGGTACACGAGAATGAAATGAAGAAAACAGCTAAGAAATTAAATGCTGAAATGCGTTCAAATCAAGACAAGAAAAATATGGAGATTAGGGTAGCAAAAATAGCAATGTCGATTCTTGTATTGTATCTTTTGTCATGGCTGCCATATGCTACAGTCGCCTTGATTGGAATGTTTGGCGATGCATCATTCGTCACACCATTTTGGGCAGAAATACCGGTACTGTTTGCAAAAGCATCCGCGATGCATAATCCTCTAGTTTACGCACTCAGTCATCCTAAATTTAGAGCAGCTTTGCAAACGCATGCGCCCTGGCTGACTTGTTGCTGCAAACCTGAAGCAAAGCCCGCAATGTCTACAGGTACTTCTTTTAAGGACAGGAATGCCAGTAAAAGGAGTGTAACCAGTGTCACAGGTGCCAGCGTTAGTAGCGAGATGAGCAATGTCAGTGACTCCATGTACGCTGACATGGAATTTCGTCTTCGTAAACTCGAAGAAGAACAGGCAGCGAAGAGAGATCCAAAGACGGTTTCGAAAAAGAAGGCGAACAAAAATCAGGCTGTTGAACAAGCAGATGACATTCCAGCGGGAAAAATAATTCAGGATCTTGCACATGCATTAGTTGAGGCAACATCACGGGAAAAAACGAGTCATCCAGTACAACCTGTGTATCTCCCTAGTAGTATTTTAAAAGGCAAGTCGTCTGATTCCAAAGAACCGTCTGATGGCATTTTCGTTCTTGACAGTAATACAATACCTGAACTTGCAAAATACTTGACAACATTTTCAAACTTAAACAACGAAAACATTGAAGGTGTGGTTAATCAAGGTCTAGAGTTGTCACCCGAAGTTCCACCATATGAGTCTGTTGGAGCTAGGCCAAAAACTTCGAATGTTGAGGATAATGATGGTAGCGGCGTAGGCTATGATGAAGCACAACTTTGATATATCCCTAGATCTAAAACAAATATTTATTTCCTAAGTGCTCTTGACGCAATTTCATTTATGGGGTACATTGTTTACATGATTATATTGAGTATTTGGTCTAGATTATTTGAATAAACTGATATAATAATTCTGATCTAAGATTGAAATCAGGGATAGAGTAATGGCGATCGTTACGATCGCTTGAATACTTGAGAAGTATATGAAATAATAGGTATCAAGATTAAGAGATGTTGCTTTCTTGGCATCAATATTTGCAATGACGATTCATGGAAACAAGCATTCAAAATCAATCTGAACGCTGTATGCGCTATTTCCACGTTTAAAAGAAACCATATACACCACTAATGCCTATTCGGTATAAGTAGTGGAAAGTATTTTACAATGTAGAGTCTTTCATTTATAGCATTGAACGGGTGTGTGCAATACATAGAAAACGGTTTATTTCAACCACAAATTTCCCAGTTAAATATTGCTTTGTAGTCAACTTTATTGCATTCACATTTGACGAAATACTTCAACAGAATATCTTTTTAATGCAATAACGACATTTTTAGATAAAATAGCAAGTGACAAGCACAAACCAGAGACAGTCCAAGCTCTCTTGTGTAAGATTTTTTTTAGTTCAATGGAATCATGTTTAAATCATTTTGTGGATGTCAATATCTTTTTTATTATTTCAATGGAAACATGTTTAAATCATTTTGTGAATGTCAATATATTTTATGGCTGGTCTATTGAGAATATTGAGAATTCCAGAATGTGTGTGAACGTTTGACCATTCCTTTAAATTTATAATATCGTAACAATCGGAGCATTTCAACATGCCAATTTTTGAAAACGCTTTTGAAATGCGTGGTAATTTGTCTGGTTACTGCTTTGATAATAATATAGAGGTACGTAAATGTTAGACTGCTCATAGACATTGGTAATAAATACAGAAACGTCCCAATTTAACTATTCATGGTCAAAACGGCTTGGACACACAGGTAAGCAAAGCTCTAGTTAACATCGCCGATGTCGAATATGATTTTACGTTAACATTGATACAAATGCCGATAAAAGCGTGATTGATACAAATGCCAGTAAAGCGTGATTGATACAAATGCCGGTAAATCGTGATTGATACAAATGCCGGTAAAATCGTGATCGATAGAAATGCCAGTAAAGTGTGATTGATACAAATATCGGTAAAATTGTGATTGATAAAAATGCCGGTAAAACGTGATTGATACAAATGCCGTTAAAATCGTGATTGACAGAAATGCCAGTAAAGCGTGATTGATACAAATGCCGGTAAAACCGTGATTGATGCAAATGGCGGTAAAATTGTGATTGATACAAACGCAGGTAAAAGCGTGATTTATACAAATGTCGGTAAAATCGTGATTCATTCAAATGGCGGTTAAAGCGTGATTGACTCATACGATGTTTTGTTGTCATAACAATGAATTTCATATTGCAAATTCTTGTACATTATATGATTTATGTGAATAAATGCAAATTTTCGTATAAACAATTATATGAAAATAATTAGAAATAGATCTATATCTATGTCAAATAATTAAAATATATGTATATATCATTAATTGACTTGAAATATAAAGTTACAACAACATTGCTGTTCAGTTGACGAAACAGTACTTAACTTTATGTATTTCATAACATTTGTTTGTTCAGACGGGTCATTGTTGCATCATTATTGTTAATCAATTTCTTTATTTGTTGTCAATTTAAGGAAAAATAAATAGTACATATAACAGTGAACTGTTGAGTTATAGTTATGTCCCTTGGTTGCGTATGGGCACTTTTTCATATAATTAAACGAACACATTAAGTTTGCTTGAAAAAAACTTCATGTGTTGTTCTTGAAATATAAATAAAGTCGTAGAATACCTTTGCCCATGATGTAGCACATAAAAATGTTACCTACAGTGACCCTCGTTATTTAACGTGGTTAGTTGCTCAGGCAATTTGTATAGCACCTTACTTATTTTGCATTAGCATTTTATTGTTATTATCAGGATTGCTTTTTTTGCTCACGCGAATGTAATTTACATTTCTTATTAACTTAAACATTTTTGTTGTTTATAACATTCAACATTTTGTTGCTTTTACATATGGCGGAATAATTCTGTTTATGATTAACGTGTTACGTAACTGGCGATAGTTAAAGGCGTATGCTATACAATTAAATGTAATCATGAAGAATGAAAACTTTATTATAAAATTTATTAAACTCTGCATGATCTTACAATATGATTGTGATCACAGAGCTTGTTAACGAGTTGAATTGACTGCCCACGAATTTGAAAGTTTGCTTATTTCAGGGATCAAACTTTCACATTTGTCAATTAATATCAGCGAATCCTTGTTTTTTTCTTCTTTCCATGTTTTCAAAAATAAATAAAGAGTAGTTTGTTTACTGTTCTTTTTTTCCTAATCTATGCTAATTTAGAAGTTAAAAGTTTTTTTATGAAAATTTACATTGCGACTAAGGATAAAATGGAAACAAAAAATAGTTTAAATAAGTTAGTGTTGCCAGACTAATGTATAAATTATTTGTCCTTAAAATTACACAAAAAAATATAAATCGAGGATATATAACTCTAAATCGACCTCAATTTGCTTTTTGCATAAAATGTTCTGTTATTTCATTCTACGATCTTGAAAAGCTTAAAGATATTAGTGTGATTCTCATGTACACGACTGTACAGCTGAAAATGGGCTGCGAATAATTTTAATCATATATGCCATCAAGTATTAATACTATTCTTTTTTTCGAACACACACCACAAAACTTGTAAACGTACATGTATGCTGAATAGTAAGAACAGATAATTGAGCCGCGCCATGACAAAACCAACATAATGGGTTTGCGACCAGCATAGATATAGACCAACCTGCGCATCCGCGCAGTCTGATCAGGATACATATTGTTCGCTATCAGTTTCTCTACTTGTAATAGAGTTGGTAAGCGAACAGCATGGATCCTGATCAGACTGCGCGGATGCGCAGGCTTGTCTGGATTCATGCTGGTCGCAAACCCATTATGTTGGTTTTGTCGTGACGCGGCTCATATAATGAAATAGGTTTGGAATAATGTTACTTCCGGTTATTTCCTTGACTTTAAAATGGCGTCCCTCCAACAATCATGCAGTTATTCATTTTTATCAAAATCAAAATTACTATTCGTTTACATGATATTTAAGTTCCTTTGATATATTTTGATATCTACTAACAAACCATTTTTCAACCCTATTAACAGCTTTAAGATAACAATTACATGTATTACAATATCTATTTCCTCAATTTTAAAAACCAATTTAAGGTAAAATGAGCTTTTAATTGTATGAACTTTCTCTCGTTTAATTTCAAATGTATATATGTTTGAAACAGGGAAAATTTATATTAATAATTTATTTCCTTCTAATTTTGCATAAATAGTCGCCAGTTATATAACATAAATAATGACATACTCGTATTGTGAATTATAAAAAAGATCGGTTTAACGGTTATCGGTATTCTTTTGAAAATATTACTTGTATTGTGGGAAAAAAACCAACACAAATATTTTAAACGCCAGTGAATTATTTTTACCATTCCGAACGATGAAAATGATAATGAAGCAATATAATATATGGGCATGTGATTAATATGTCTACATACTGAATATATGATGATCAAAAATAAAGTAAATTACCTGGATTGCATGTAAACATATGTACGTGTTATTAAACATATTTTCTATTGATGAGTTTATCTACAATAAAGATCTACCCGGCTATTCGTGTATCAAACCTGTATAATCACGATTTTTGCCTGAGGTTACACTTTACGAATTACGAGCAACCTGTTTATCAAACGAATGATCTGAAAATTATTATCCCACTTTTAACGTTTTCACATTTGAGTGAAAATACACGAGATGACTAATTTTCACTGTTAAGGTAGAACGCGACACTTTGCGAACTTTCGAGTAGCGTCTTGAAAATGTCTTGAAAATGGGCATGCACAAAATTGACCATATTTCTGATTGGATTTCGTTGATTTTATTTCAATAGTTTCAGCCAATTTTTGTACACAGGACGTCAAAGTTGACCATCAAAGCCCGTTTTTAACATGACGTCGTTGCGTATCCTTGGCAACTGTTACGGGCATTTCAACGCCATTGGCGGACAAAATATCTTAAATCCTACAGCATTCGACTGAAATTACTTTTTCCTTTAAGCTGATATAAAATTTATTGTTTTACGCCGAATATTGTTTGAGTAATGGAAAGAAAGTTGTCAATTTTGTGTAAAATTTTAAAGCGGCTTATTAAAAATTTCCTGAAATATGGTCAATTTTGTGCATGCCAATTTTCAAGACGCTACTCGAAAGTTCGCAAAGTGTCGCGTTTTACCTCAAGCCCAATTTATGAGTCCACGCGTTATTATACTGACTTTTATGTATGAATTTATTCGAATAAACAATGTGAACCGTTATTATTTGGGCATGCATATAACAACTATATTATTGTTAATCTACCGGTTATTGAACAAAAGGTAATGGTCTTGTTTATTATAGTGTCACCGCTACTGAAAGGGCCAGCCATTTCTGACTTATGTGACACCTTTTGCTTGAATACCATGTACCTCCCAACTGCTACTACTATGCCATGCAGGCACCAGGCGGATAGAAATCGCTTACCATTTTAACTACCTCGTGGCTCACGAAGTGGCCATTTCGGAACGAGTTCCACGAGAAACATTCATCCTTCAATTAACGCTCCCCGTGAGACTCGAACCTTCGACCTCCCGATTCGAAGGCGGACGCCTTAACCACTAGACAAACGGTACCGGTTACGGTGAACAATTACGAGTAAATAGTAACTCAGTTGATATAAAAAAACTGAAAGAGAGCATTTCTGAAGATATTTGTGCCATGATTGTACTTTTCATCTTGTTTATTGCTCATTAATCTGTTCTAACATGACATGAATATCTTTTTTCTCTGTATATCTAAATTTTACACTGCTACGTTTCAAAACAATTTCTTATTAACGTTAAACTCTTAACCTGCTTAAAATGGCTTAAGTTGATTACATAAAATGATTTTTGACTTGTACATATACTTGACTTGAGGGGCGATCCAAAAAGTATGTTAATTTTTGTTTTGAAGTCACTTGCCTCTCAAACTAAAGCTGTTAAATCAAGTAAGTTTTCTCAAAATTGCTGCCTGCCAAATATGTTACTATGCAAAAGAAGCTTGTAAGTACATCCGGAGCAGCTTAATGATTTCATATATGTTGGTAAATAGTTTGACATACACTTGTGTGTTTTGTATGATGCCATTAAACATTTACAACGCACTTTCAGCAAGCCAAATGCGTTACTGACTTCGACTTTTTATCGTTACGAATGGTCTGCCGGAACAGAAGAAAAGAAAAAGAAAACGGCGAAGTTTAAAAACATTATACAACACAAACTTATGAAATTTTGCAACACATTGTAAACATGGCTAATGATGAAATTTAAGTCATCAAGTTGTTCAAATGTTTGGTGAAGCAAAACGTTTTGGGTGGCAAACAATAGTTACGCCAAAGTTAGTGACATTGGTAAAAAGACCGTCGCCAAATGAATATCCGTGATATCGTAGAAGCTACAAGAATCAAATATGGAACTGTTTAGAACATGTGTACATCAACTAAAGCTTTGTGCGCATGCTCATGGGGATTTGTTTGAGGAGTGTAAACATACATGACGTATTAAAAGAAATTATTAATGGTTGAAATGAAATTAATTTTTCATGAAAAATTCATTTATTGAGGTAAACCATTTTAAAATATGATAGAATATGCAGATATTATTAATATGTCATAGATTTGATATTTGCACTATTATTTTTATATTTTTTTCCGAGAATATGTAACAGATGATTATTTGTACTGTATTGTGAATCTTCAATGAAAACCGGTTTCTATTTTATATACAAAGTCCACGTATCTTCTCACTCCTCGTATTTCTGCATATTTAAGAAATACATGTACACACAATAAATGTAAAATACAAAAGAAAAGCGTGATGAAAATTACACAGAAATTTAATTGGTGTGAAGAAGAATTCCATTTCAACAAACAAAAATTTCAAACACAGCCTTTTTTGATAAATAACTTTACCACCAATTATGAAATGTATCAACAACAAAGATAAGTTTTCTCTTCCTTTGACATTTTTCAGTTTATCAAACTGTTTACCACTGTTTGTTAGTTCTGATCCATCTGGCATACATGTTTGTTGAATTAGTCATATTCCGATCCAATAGTAATACTTATTTCTCCAGGATGGATGAAAGTAGAGTGGTACCATACGTTAGTGTCTACCACAACTGAAATGAAACACAAATGTACTTTTTTGAAATTTCTATGACATATGAGCCGCGTCATGACAAAACCAACATAATGGGTTTGCGACCAGCATGGATCCAGACCAGCCTGCGCATCCGCGCAGTCTGATCAGGATCCATGCTGTTCGCTATTAGTTTCTTTACTTGTTATAGGGTCGGTAAGCGAACAGCATGGATCCTGATCAGACTGCGCGGAGGCGCAGGCTGGTCTGGATCCATGCTGGTCGCAAACCCATTATGTTGGTTTTGTTGTGACACGGCTCATATTATATACTTTCAAATCAATTCTAGAAAACAACTTGACTTTTTAAGTAGTTTACAATGCAGTCTCTGTTAGCTAGACCAAACAAAACTCTTAATATGCATAATACTGGAAAATGGAAATGGAACACAACTTTAGTCTACATACGAGTATTTTATGATTTTATATATACGTGGGAGATCCTGAGTTCGATCCTGTGCTATATTAAATCTAAGACAAGCATCGTAATATTCTGCTTTCACACTCATCATTAAGAGAAATACTTGAGGTTTGGTAATACTTGTGCAAAATTGTTTTTTAATTACTATACATCTTACATATGTCTCCTTTATGGACAGTCACATTGAAACTCTTGCACTCGGCTTCACATTCAGGGGTGGGTACCAGTGACCACGTCTTCTTGCCGGATATCTGTGCTTGCCAGGAAGGTCGCATTACGTAGTCTAACTGAAAAGTATACATAAACACATAAATTATATTTTAAATATACTTGTCTCTGAAAAAAATGAACATATTGAAAACAACAAGGTAAAACGAATGTGATCTTCTTTAAGTGATTTAAAAGAAGCATAGTTAAAAGATGGTGAGCAAAAATGAGTGCATAAATTTTGTAAAATAAGAAAGAGTTAGGCACCACGAAAACAACAAAAACTCAATTGATAGGTGAACATTATATTTATTTTCTGTTTATAATGGTCAATACCAAAGTTACAAACTCTTTATGATATCAATACATACAAACAACACCGGCTAAACCATGATTAAATATTGAAACCCAAGAAAATAAATATTAAAAATCCACGTATGAAGACAAAAATACAAACATGAACAGGTGCTCCATTTCCAGAACCTCCCATGAAGATCCAATCAAGGGTGCTGGATTCTGAGTTGTTTGGTAGAAAATAGGGTCGTTCGTAATGTTTCCTTAACTTATCCCTGACTTCCTTGTGGCAATTGCTCCTAAAAGTAGAAATATCGATTTTTTCTAAAGTAAACACAGTAATATTAATAAATATTCATTTGCTTTGTCCGGATTGATTTCTATTCGTACACGAATACTATATTGCACAATCAACTATATAAGGCTTTGTTGTTAATAAATATCACGTATAGACGTTATGATTATGTTATTGTTTCCGGCTTTTAATTGTTGTGAAAATCCTTGATGATATTAACTAACATTACATTTGGTCTGTGAATTTCAAGCAGTTATATCAAAATACCCTTAATAACTTGAAACACTAAGTAAATAATCTATCTCACAAATCAAATCATGATTATGTGAAATTATTTTACCATCCAATATACCATGGGTCCTCCCCTTCTTCAAAGTTTGCTCGCTTATCTGACATATTGAAAACATCGCTTAATGTGTCAAAGTCGGTTTTGTATGGGAAAAAGAGACAATCTTCCTCCACAGTTTTCAGAGAGTCCCTTGTACCTTGATACAGATCTTTAAAGTACTGGTAAGAGAAGGTTGACATAGCTGACCAAGTGCTGGTTGCATCTTTGATTAACACAGGAACATAACTATAAGCGTATTTACGGTTAAAGTCCTCAGCTGAGATGGCGTGCTCTACAGGGATGCTGTCTAAATTCTTACACATGCCACACTGTACCAATGGCCTTGCCATTTCCGATGCATATAAACTGTGATCTATTATACATTTGTCTGCCAGCATATCGGTAATTGTTTCCTTAATTGTCAATGTAATCACTGCACTTAATATTCCAAATGTGTAAATTAAAGCGTACATGCTATATTTGGAATATAAGAAAGAAAATCTCCTTGAAATCCATTTATTTTCCTTAACCGGTTCTTTAGGAGTTGTCGCCTTGTCATTTTCCTTTGCTTTCCCTGTTCCAGAGTCCACTTTTTTAAATCCGTTTTCCGATTTTGTACCAAAAATATTTCGAATCTCCTTTTGCGAAACTCCTTTCTTGTTTGCATCTTTAAAAACCTTAACAAATTTCTTAGTTAAACTACTTTTCTTTTCATTCTTATTCATTTTAGACAAAAAAAATGATGCTGGAGTGCAATCGTTTTCTTAATATTTATATATGAAATGTCGATGTAAATTTTTACGATAGTTATTTAGTATTTAACCATGCATACAAAAACATTTCACCATCCGACAGCAAATAGGATTTGAAGATTTAACATAAAGATTTGGATGTTTTTATCTAGCGACCCGGAACTTTAAGGTAAATACATTTATAATAAGTTTAAAATTGTCGAAACATTGCAAATTACAGCTTTACTGATTGTTATGAATACAGTAGATAAATAACCAGTGGAAAAAGTATTTGTCTCATTCTTTTGTAACCTCAGAAAATCATCTGATTGATTTCCCCTGTTTCTTTTCTTAACATCAAATTTGGGCTTAAACTTTTATAACAAGAAAAGTGTACATTTTTAAAAACACTCTTACTGTATATGAAGTTAAGTATTTAATTCTTATATATTCTTAAGAATTTTAATAAAACAAAAATTTTCATTTTAAATAGGATCAGTTGTTTTTTTTTTTATTTATCTTTGATTATTTTTTGAAAAAATCAGCCAATGTTACGACAATTTAAGTTTAAATCACTTATGCTGCATACTTATTTTGTTGTCAAATTTGTAATTAAATTTTACTCTTCTTAAAGTATAATTAGCCTTATTTCGATATGAAATGAAAATATGAATTGTTACAAGTGATCTAGATTAACATTCGTCTAAGGTATAACGCTGTGCTTTTAGTTTACTCAAACGTGCAATAGTTCACGTGTACATTATACTCTAGGGGAAATTAAAGGTAATGAACCTTGACTATATATATTCATATTGATAACATCAAACACCCGGAGGTTGCTGTATTTTTAGTATATGTACCTGGCGAAGCTAATTGTTCACTCAAACTGGCTGAATAGAATAGAGTTGCAAATATTTTGATCGTTAAGATCAACGGTATATAAAAACAATTAAATGTGTTCCAGGTGTACAATACAGACATAAATCGATTATTCAATATCTACATTTTCAAAATTACTCGTAATAGCAATTGCAATCCTAATGATTTGATTTGCAGAACTTCCTTTTTCTTTTCATCCGAAATTTTAAGACGATAAGTTAAAAGCGTAAAATGTAGCTCTTTTATCTAAAAAAAAACGTGTGTTTCATATTAGTGATCACCGATTATGTCAGATTATCTTTTTCTCAATCAATTAGTGCATGTGTCCATTGCTGTTGTTGTGACATCCAGTGACTTATATATGTACGATTTAGGTGTTGAAAGCTTCACTTCTTGTCACTAAAGACAGGCAAGTACAAATGTTGCTGCAATGCAGCAATTGAGAAGCTCCGCGCAAAAAAAAATGCGCTCATAATAGATACCTTTCCAAATTTTTCATACGCACAGGTCATGTTATATTCAGATTAAGTACTATTGTAAATTTTTTCCGAATGTTTTGTAAACCTTTTTTTTGCATAATTATACTTATCTTATGCACTGCCCATAATTAAAAAGAGGGGCCAGATATACAATTTGAAAAAATGATTTCACTAATGCTTACCTGGTAAGGATTGAGAATAAAACAAGACTTACCAGACTTGTAAATGTTATTTGACATAAGACGATAAACATATCAAAGTCTGTTTTTTATTATTATAATTGTAACAAATATACAAATTAAATAGTAACAAAAGGGACTTATATTATAATATAGTAATATTACATGCATTTTTTCATGTCAAATTAAAAAAAATGGTTTCTTTAAATACTGATAGAACTCTTACTTGAATTTTAGGCAGGTATGAGGAAATTCACTAACATCATGTTCGTGCGAGTCAAATACATAAAAGCTACTTGACATTGGTAATATATAAAAAACAATTGTTAATTGATTTATTGAGAGATCAATACACTTTTTTGCTTCTTTATATTGACACATTCAATCACTAATAGTATACTTGATATGCTGTGTCAAAATATTACAAATTATAATTTCATGTACTACTAAAAAGGGAAATAACAAATTTATAACCTAAGTGTCAAAATCAGAACATTTATTGCTATTTATGTACAGCAGAACTGCTTTCCGGTTCATATTCATTAATATGACATGCTGCGAATCACCGAAGGGGGAACAAATATAATAATCGAAAGGAGTAATTGAAACAGAATTTATTTTTAGCTGTAAATCGAAGGGAGTATTTGATAAAATCCGGGCCCATGGACAAAATAAATAACGAACACAAATAACTCCGAGCAATAGTATTATTTAATATAGATTTTATTTTTTCATCACCACCGCTCAAGACTGACGAAGGCTATTGATACATTTAAGTTTTTTTATTTTTAAAGATTTCAAAAGAACATCACCAATAAAAGTATCTACAGAAAGGTTTCATACAAAATGTACAATTTAAATTGTTTTAAAACGCATAACAGATTTTTTTTTACTCAACATATCAATTAAAGAATATTTGAAATATCATTTGTAATGCGTATGCTTAACCTTTTACCTCATGTAGACGTGTTTTGACGGCTTTTTGTTGACCCCCCCCCCCCTTTTTAGGCCTCAAACAGTGAAAAAATGCCCTATTTAGACCAAAAAAAGTGACCACTTTTTCGGCGCCGCCCCCCATCAAAAAGGTACAACTCGGGGTATGGGGTGTTTGAAGGGTGGAGTTATTAATCCCCTCCCCATCGCCAAGAAAATTTTGGACATCTGACATTCTGAAGATGGTACATGTATCAGGTCGATCTTAAGGTAACTAATAACCAACGCTGAGAAGCCTTTTACTCTATCTCATTTCATGAGACGTTGCATCACTTTGAAATCAGTTTTGATTGGGGATAAAAACAATGCAAAACAGTGATTTTTCGCAATTTTGAGACGTCTCTCCTTGCCATGGTAACAGGAAATTTACGCTTGAGCAGGATGTTATAGAGACCCAGGCCCAATCAATATTCGTTCCAAGTTTCATCAGTATTAAAGCATTTTTCATAGTTTCATAGCAGTTTGAACTTGAAACAGGAGACTTTTCAATGAAAACGGCCATTTTCACAATAAGCTCATGGGGTTAAAGGTAAAACCGTGATTGGAGCCTTTTAAAAAACTAACAATGCAAACAATATTACTCATGAGGCAAAAATAACTAAATTTTACGTATTTTAGAAAATTATAATCTACAAAACATGAAACAATTGTTCCGATAGATATCAAATCAATCCATGAAACATTTTTGTATCAAGTTTCTCATCTATATACGTGATAATTCGCTAGGGAGCATTAAAAGAAGGTGTCAATATCAGATATAGATAGTAAGTGAAGTATATCCGTTGATATATTTTCATATATCAATATGACACCAAAGAAAGACAAAAAGGAAGACAAAACAACTCATAGAAATACATTTTAACTTGCCGAGACCTATTTCACCCTACCCAGCACTTCACCCAGAATGGAATGGAAACATCACCAAAAATTAATAGCTAGCACAAAAACTTTTTTCAAAGACGAATGTGCCATGTATTGCAATGATAATGACCTCATAATCAATATCAAAAATATTTATGGTGTATACAATTATCTCAGAAAAAGGAAAAACACAAATAGCAAACTCGTAATCCAGACTACATATAATCAGAAATATGCCATTTTTTTTATATATTTTAGTTACATTTCTTGTAAAAAGAAATCCATTTCTTTTATACTGTAAGGGCCAAATTTCTATATCATCTTTTTATCCAGAAGAAATGATAATATCATTGAAATCGGTAGATCATTTAATTTGGTTCAATCAATTTTATCCGGTGTTAGACGTTTTGTTTTTAATTTCTATATTTTGCAAGTTCGTTTTTATATTTTATATACAGGCCATCCTCAACTGATTCTTATAATTATACATGTTATACTGTATATATGTTTAAAAATTCCATCAGAATGATCACTTTTGCTTGATTGCTTTCTAACACGTTTTGACAGATACATGAACGTCAAAAAATGTATAACAAAAAACTGTTGTTGTTTTTGTATGCATTTGATGAAAATACGAACTTCTCTTCTTACCAATTTGAAAGTTTAAACTGATTATCTTTTTTTATCATACTGATGCATTTAAAGAATTAGCTACAACATTTCAACATGATAAATATTCTATATATGTTTAGATAAATTGATTTGTGATTAACATTCTTTTCAGATGTATTACAATAATTTTAAAATTAACTCTTTAACAATTCTTCTTTCTTCATAATGTTATACATTTGAGTGATCTAGTTTTTAAACTGTGCCTATAAAAAGGTATATAAGTGCAGATCTATTATTTGCACTGTACAACTGCTGAATAAGGTTTCTTTCAAACCTTTTGTTTGAAAAGAAAACTTGACATGAAGATGATTAAGTGTCCCCAGACAAACAGATGATATTGTTTATACCATACTTCCTGGTGAGATTGTAAAATTTCATTGGTCAATGTTTCAATGGAAAATCTACTTCTAATATGAGCCTAAACAATTTATCATGTTTTACCATCTTTGCAACAAACGCAATGACAGTAACCACAATAGGCAAACTATGAACAGACGATTAAAGTTGAAAGGGCTGACTATTCAAAGATATTGTGTCACGAATGCGAATATATAGAGTATATAAAGTAACCTGTATAACAAATAAGTACATTTTTTACATGTCTATAACAGTAAGTTTGATCCAATGATGTTGACAAGATATATCATTTAAACACCACCTTCAATGTTTGATGTTATAATTGCGTGTAGAGAGAAAATGTTACTGTAAATGTATTTATGCATGTGTCGATCCTTATAACCATCTTATTTAAAATTGAACACAGTTTTTAATAAGCATTTGATTTATTTTGCAATCAAGTTACATAGATATACAAATGTTAAATAAGAGCAGGAACACAGGGGAGATGATTACCTAAGCAATTTAAATAAGTTTTTGGTGAAAGCTAAATACTCTTTTAAAATGCTTGTACCAGGGAATTGAAAAAAATGTGCTTAAAAGTAAAATTAACACGGCCTAGTTTTCATTTGTTCAAATAAAAAGTCTTAAGATTTGATAATGAAACCAAACGCTATATTGCATTGGTTCTTCTT